CGCCACTGGCTTCTATTCTGAGCCATATCTGATAACGTCTCTAGCCACTGTGTAGCACCATCTCTCAGACCCCAACCAGGGAGTCGTAAAGGACCAACAGAAGCCAGTCCTTTGCAGCTTTCTTTCATACCACGACACCATGTCATGCACTGACCACCTCTCCGCTTCTTCCAACCAGTCCCAGAGTCGGCAAATAATGCACGACGTGGAATCCTCTGGGACGACATTCGGAGAACATGTCCAAGCCACCGAAGTCGGTGTTTCAAGATGGTGACACCAATTGAAATATCATCTCTGTGCCCGAACACACGATGCCGAACCTCTGCATTACTGACATGGTGTTGCCACTGGATGTCAGCAATCCTTCGAAGACAACGATGATCGAACACAGAGAGTCGTCTAACGTCCTCAACTCGGAGAGACCAGGTTTCACAAGCATAGAGCAAAACTGCTCTCACCGACGAGTTGTAGATCCAACCTTTTACAGCCAGACCGACATCACGAAGGTGGCCCAGATTGGCATAAGCCGCTCTGGCTTTCACTATTCGTGCATTGATCTCATCACTCACACCCCCACCAGCACTTATGATGCTACCCAGATACACGAACTTCTCGACTACGTCTATCTGCTCACCATCCAGGGTGAGTACAGGATTGGGATCCTGCCAGTCTTGTAGAAGTACTTTGCACTTCGAAGGTGCAAAGCACATACCATACCTACGGACACTGATTGCCAACTGATTAAGTGTGGATTGCATGCCTTGGGCATTATCGCACAGTAAGACAATATCGTCCGCATACTCAAGGTCAAGAAGTCTTCCTCCAGGCAATAGATCCACACCACCATTACCTACATCCATCAGAGCTGTTTCCAGAATGTCATCGATGGCAAAGTTGAAGACAGATGGTGAGATTGGGCAACCCTGTCTAAGGAACGACCGTGAGCGGTAGTGGGCAGCAAAAGCAAAAGAGATGGAAAAGGCGGCGGCTGTAGGGAACATAAGACAGCTCTACAGACTAATAAAAGAAACTTGAAATAATAAGTCAAGTGTAAATCAGACTATTTCTGAAAAAGACGACACCCTCATCTGCTCTCAGTCCAGACGTTTAGAACGATGGGCAGAACATTTCAGAGAACAGTTCAGCTACTTTACAACTACCCTCCATTTCCAGACAATGGGAGTGGAACATTGAAGTAGGTCCCCCGACTCTGGCTGAAGTTCATAAGCCTATAGCTAATCTGAAACGAGGAAGGGCAGCTGGTCCAGATGGATTGGCTCCGGAGGTCTTTAAGGATGGTGGTCCAATTTTAGCGATTAGGTTGACTAACATTTTAACTAAGATCTGGGAGTGCATGCCTTGGGCATTATCGCACAGTAAGACAATATCGTCCGCATACTCAAGGTCGAGAAGTCTTTCTCCAGGCAACAGAATCACACCGCCATTACTTACATCTATCAGAGCTGTTTCCAGAATGTCATCGATGGCAAAGTTGAAGAGGAATGGTGAGATTGGGCAACCCTGCCTAATCCCCCGATAGTTGTTACAGGAACGACGTGAACCCTTTTTAAAGACAGGGACAACTATCGACTCATTCCATGACGTTGGTACACTCTCTAGTTCCCAGACCTTTGTAAACAACGTCGTCAAGTCCTTAGTCAAAAAGTCACCACCATCTTTAAAAAGAGCCGGAGGTAAGTCATCTGGGCCAGGTGATTTGTAACGCTTCAAGAGTTGGAGTTCCTTGCGGACTTCCTCCTCATTTGGTGGATCAGTCGTCACCGGCCATGGAGGGCAGGACAGTCTGACCGATGTTGCCGGAGCAGCAGGCCAGTTGAACTGCCCTTCGAAAAATTCTGCCCATCGTCCAAGACGTCGATGGATGTTAGTGATTGGCATCCCATCATCGTCGCAGATTGTTTCACTCACACCAGACTTCTTGCTGCCAGTGGCTCGGATGAGCTGGAAGAGCTTCCGGTAGTTACCAGATGCAGCTTCTGCTTCCAGCTCATTAGCACGCTCCGACCATCAGGCTTCTCGGTCCTTACGCAAGCTTTGCCCAATTTCAGTACGCAACATCCTTCGTTTATGGTCAAACTCACGGTCACCCGGAGTAGACCGACGGGCTTCAATGAGTTGTAAGGAACCAGAAGAAACCCAGTGCTTAAAAGCGGGACGTTTCGCAAACCCACAACTGACTGTTCCCGCCATTTTCATGGCGTCATGCAATTGCAACCAATGCTCATCTATACTTTTCGGTGGAGTGGTAGCTAGCCTAAAGGCTAGCTCGGTTCGATACTTACTTGCAACAGAAGTTGCAACCAGCTTGCTAACATCAATCTTTTGGTGGTGGTCACTCCGTTGGCCACTGAAAAGTGAGGTAAGAATGGCGCAGAGTAGGGCATGGTCAGAGTCCAGATAGGTAATCCAAAAGGAGCGGCAGTCTTGTACACAACCACGCCAGCGGTAGCTGATCGTGATGTGATCAATCTGAGTCCAGGCTTGAGATGCAGAGGGAGGACGCCAGGCGGCACATCGGCGATGACTGTGCCGAAAGTTAGTGCTAGTCAGAAACAGGTTGTGGTCTATGCACAGTTGCAGTAGACGGTCCCCGTTATCTGACCTGCGACCAACGAGTCCCCATCGGCCACCTAAACGACTCCCTTCTGTGCCTAGACGCCCGACCTGAGCATTCAAGTCTCCGGCTAGTACTACAATATCTGTCGAACGCATTTTCTAGAGCAGAACAGTTAACCAGTGGTAGAATTCATCCTTGATTACATCCGGGCTGCCATCTGTCGGGGCATAGGCGGAGATGACGAAAAGACATCGTTTCTCACGCCGATTTCTTCTCACTTTGATGGGACTTTCTGATCTAACAGCACATAACCGACCGTTAATGGGGATCCAATCGATTAGTGCTGCCTCATCTCTAGCGCTTAGTGTAACACCAACGCCAGCAAGACCATACGAAGATGCCACAGAATCCCCGGATAAGCGCACGTAAAACAAGCTTTTCAAAGCGACAGATGGAGAGCGAATTTGTAGTACTTCACCGGAGTCTTGAATACAGGTCCAGGACAGACAACAAACGTCGATATCAAGACTTTCCAAAGACATAGCCAGCCCTATTCGTTGTCCGACCTGCATAAGTGTGCGAACGTTGAAGGCAGCCAGTTTGAATGGTGCACGTGGTTTCAGAAAAACTGCTTCAGTTCTCGTATTCGGTGGTAACATACAATTTTCAACCGGACAGTGACTCGAGAACGTTTAGATACAGTCGAATTTCCACCAAAGACGAGCCGCTGTATAAGTATAAAAGAGGGTGAATAATGTGGAAAATAATAATAATGACAATAATAGTAATAGTATTAATAATGACAATAATTGGAATGATAATAATTTGAATCAACTGTTTGTTTTTCGAAGCGAGGAAAGTAATTTCCATAGACATAGAGAGTTCATCATTTGTGTGTGGGCTGTGATACTGCCCGAGTGCCCAAACCGAAGCAGGTGGTTATCTTAGGGGGCCACACCCCGAGCCTTTGACCTAAAGGTCTAACCCACAAGGCAGTGGAGCATCGTAAGGAGATGCAATCCCATGGTAGCCGGTGACCAACGATTGGTTCATACGCCATTTGTTCCCGCAGGATACTGGAGCCCATGTGCACCACTGGTTTGGAATCCGGTTAAAGCGCCGGACATTCGCTTTTCGTCCTCTCATTTTCGTAAACAACACCCCCGCCACGAGAAGGCAATGAGTAGGACTTCCCTGGCAGAGGCTGTATACGCGTGGCCTTGTGAGAGCATTTCGAGAGGGAGAGCGGACTCTCCCCACTTTCTGGTTAGAGAGAAAAAAGTCAATCGGCTTATTCAGATCATTTCCTCATTAACCACATTAAATTAGTTTAAGAGTCGACACTAACTAATTTATTCCGATCATATCAGTTTACATACTAACGGCTGATAATAAGAACAGTTAGGAAATGCATTCGATGCATATACTTACGAATAATTGAGTGGGTTATTATATTACAACTGCTGGTGAACACTAGAAAGTCTGTCAAACATTTTATAGTGTTACCAGGTAGTTTGAAACTTATGTTATTTTTCTTTACGTTTAAAGGAATATCAAAATACAAGCGTTCAGTTTGTATATATTTCTTATCATTTGATCAATTTTATTTTTCGATAAAGACGACACTGTATGTAATTTTTTAATGACTTGCAGAAGAATTCTAACGATATTCTCTATAACTGTATTACACTTGTGATAGTGTTCTCACTTTGGATCGAACACTATCAATCGGTAATAAGATGCAGATTCATAAATAAAACTAGATATACAAGCAAGTAACCAATTAGACAACAGGAAAATTTCAATTCCTCTGATACTGATGTTGTTATATGAAGTTCTTCAATCCATCTCTCAATGTATACATGACTTAATGACAAGATTATAAACAAATTAGGTTGACGAAATTTCAATATACAAAATATTATTCTGTGAAAATTAGCAAGCTACACTGGTTATTGCTTTGACAAAGATCTGTAGATAATGAGAATTCGACTTTTATGGAGTAGTTTCAATCATTAAGAACTCAATATTACACTGAGTTATACTATATTTACAAATAAATATGTAGGTGTGATTACTAACATCAAATGATGAACAAGAACATCAAGCACGTGCTACAGCGTTGACCCGTAAAATTTTATAATCTGATGATGATGACGGTAGCGAATCTGAAGATTAGTCGCCTCCTTTGACGGGTAGGCAACAACAATCTATGGACTCATCACCTTCAGATTTGTCGGACAGCAGTAGTCCAAGACGACATGACGAACACAGATCAAAAACTAGACGTGTTTAACATATCTTAAAATGCTTTGTACATATAATCAATCTTTTACTACTATCCAAACTGTAGTGGGAATTTTCTTGTTTTACAAGCATTAATTTTTTAATTTATTTATATATATGTTTGCATATAGTTCATGTTTTAATGTTGTTTAACTTATCAACTAGATATCATTCCATTTTGTGAAGAAAAAAATCACTAAGATGTTAGTAATCATACCTACATATTTATTTGTAAATGTTTTAATGTTCATCTTCTTCACCGCTACTTGAACTATCACTTGAATCAGAAACAATAGCTTTACTAACTATTCTCATTCTTTGTTTAGCTGATAATCCATCATCACGTGAAGTAGAGAATCTCGACTTTTTACGCAAAAGATTTCCTTCCTTTGACTCGGAACTTTGACGTTTATTTCCAATCTTTTTTTGTTTCTGTTGACCAACACTATCCACATTTTCTGAACGATCACCGGCTTCCGCCTCATTAGAACCGTCACTGCTTTCCTCATCACCAGATGCAATAAAATCATCACGTTTTCGACTACCGCCACCACTACGACGTGATTTTTTCTCCTAAGGGATTTAAAAAGTGTGAAAATTACATAAAGAGTTGGATAAAAGTATAATAAAGAAGGAAACTAAACAACCGCAACGAGTTTTCAGCCAGTTCTTAGCTAATCAGAAAACTTTTGTAAATGGAAAAAAACAAAAATACTGCCATGTCAACAGTTTTAACATAATCAATGAACCTATTACAGTCTTCCATGGGTTATTTCATTTGTTAATTTGAAAAACAAGAACGTAAATTTATCCTTATGGATATACGGTTAGGGTTTTCATCACAAAGTGAAATCGACTAGAACGAAAATATCCTCTTTACCCGTATGGATGAATAGACTTTGTGTAAAGCTCTAGGAGGCACTATCTGATTAGTTCTTTCGTAAACTATACTACCACCAAGCTAAGGTTTGTTTCAAGATTTAAGGTTAGTGCCGATTTGGCTGTTTTATACAATCCTAAAGACGGAATTGGACATTTGATACGTTTGACACTATCACTTCTACTCTGTAGTGGCAGGGGATAATTTTGAGCAGCGTACAAAGGTGCTTCCATTGTTTGCTTACATGGTATTTGAAATTTGCACAATAACGTACAAGTCACGTTCTTGATTCCAATTGGCTCATCCCTATGCTATACTTTTAACAAAAATTCACACAGTATTGCTGCAAATTGATCAAAACATACATACACGCAATTAATATTTAGTCAATCATCTAAAACGCATGACCAGGCAAATATAAGCATCGATCTAAGTTTCTACACTTCATTACTACAACAAGATGAACACCGAATTCATAGAAGCAGTTACTTCAGTGGCAGTAATATATATATAAGGGCATGATACAGGAGGAAAGAATTAGTTTGTATAAAGTAATTTTGGTCTAACGGTCTAAGAAAAGACAACAACGCCATTGGGGTCGATTCTGAGCCGTCACCCTACCCGGAGTCTTCAACGATTGGTTAGGATAGTCACGCAGACCACAACCAATTAGTCTGCATCTACCAATGTGGCTAAGACCAGAAGTTAGTGACTTCAATGAATGATGCGACGTATTGGTTTGGCCAAACCTGACTTTCTTCCAACTGTCTCCAACATTAGTCAGCATAGCGCTTCGTGATAATTGGTGTCCATGCATACGTAACTCGTAGTCCAGCCATCTCAGTCGATAAAGATCTGTAACTTCACCAACTGATTTGCCATCATTCTCTAATACCCTGCACCTTACTATTACTCACCTGGTGATCCTAGCAGATGCGAGCAATATTTCTAAGACATTGGTGATCAAACACTAGTAACTTACGAGTATCCTCTACCCTTAGCGGATTGGTTTCACAGCCGTAAAGCAAAACAGGACGAATTGCTGCGCAATATACTCATCCTTTAATTGGTAGACGGATATCTCGCCTTCGCCATAAATCACTTAAGTTGGCAAAAGCCAAACAACCTTTTCGAATCCGTGCAGAGATTTCGTCAGGTATCAACCCATTAGGGCTGATCAGACTTCCAAGATAAGTGATATTTAGACCTAAGAAATATGAAACGCTAGTTCGAGATTAATAAACATTGACATAATTATTAAATAGAAGTTTGAATAATCGGCTTCAAAGCACATTTGTTATATTGAAATCTATTGATATATTACCCTACTTGGTTGTTATTCAAGTTTATATTAGCTTTGTTGAGTGCTTAACTTCCACTGAAATGTTAATCTGTTCGTTTAAAGTAAACATTTGTCGGTGTACTATGGTACCAGAAAAATATTAAATGAAATTGTTTTGATTACTAAAACACAGCAACCAATATTGTAAGACCTTTAAACTGTGTGGGTATACATGAAGTGTATGCACACTAAATTGAAAAAGAATGAGAACAAACAACACACCTCTACAACTGGTTCAATTATAATTTGTTTAGCTTTCTCCAAGAAACGTCCACGTTCTTCTTCTAAACGTCGTTCACGATCAAGTCGCATTTGTTCAGCTTGTTGTTGTAATTCCAATTGACGCTTACGTTGTGCTTCACGTTCTTCCTCCTAATGTTGAGAAATATAGACAGAATTCCTAATTAATCTCCTCTCACCCCTATCCAAACATACACAGTGATGAACGTTTGTTTGATAAGTAAGTAGTTAAGCTTTAGTCTTACCTTATTTGACAATTAGGGCAGTCAGAGAAAAAACAACTACCGTTCTACCAAACGTAGGTTTAAAACAAAATTCACGCGAATACATGTTATGTCAAGTATTTCTCACTTTGTATAACTTCAACCTACAGAATAACTACGAACGCGCATATACGTTATAACTCCTCCTAGAGCCCCTTTATAGTTACTGCCGGTCCCAAGTTCGCAACCCGATCGAAGCTGCTACCTTGACGCGGTGGTCGGGCTTGCCTATCGTGATGACCCAACCGAGCTATATTGGCTGGAACATATGTTCCTGCAGGTTCTACCATGCCAAGCAGGTCGATTGGTGAACGGTAAGACTAAAAGCAGCAACTCAAGGTCTGAGGGCGAAGTCGTACTGCTGACTGTAGAGAGGTGTGACAGCAGTAAGGTGTTTCCCTCGGACAACCAGCATGACAGCGATGCTGCCTTCCCACAAGGAGGGGTGGGGTTAGAAAAGGTCGACCCTAAAAATGTCACACCTCACCTTACCTCACGGATTTCCGTCTCCGGCGGTAAGGCCCTTTGAAGAACGGAGCTAACACGTCAAAAACCTTCCACAAAAAGGCCGTGCGCGACCGGCCTCAAGCAGTTGTCCCTTGGGCTCTGCGGTCACGCTCCCAGGTCGTCAAGACCAACACTAATCCAATTTCCTTTTCAGGTTCCTCAAGAAATACCCTTCCACGGTGTGGGCAGCCGGGAAGTGATATCAGCCCTCATACCCGTAACAGCACAAGAGACCAAGGTGGTCACATTCAAATCCTTCCTACACCTCCTAATACCTCTCTTATCTCCTCGACTAACCCTTCTCACGTCTCTTTATCACCTCGCACCGCTAGGGCAAACGATTCGAGTACGTGGAACGCCATTCCTGGTCTCCTGAAACCACGCTCTAAACTACACGTAGGAACTTTTAACGTACGAACACTTTGCCAAATAGGACAGCAGGCTTCCTTAGCTAAAACTTTAGAATCTCGCGCCATCGATGTGTGCTGCGTCTCCGAAACGCGCATACAGGATCCAAGTAGCGTCATTCATTTGACCTCACCATGCCAAAATAAAGAACCGACTCGATTTACGCTTCGTGTATCTGGAAGCCCTGATTCTGCTTCCCGTGGCCTCGCCGGCGTAGGTATAGCATTGAGTCCTAGGGCAGAACTAGCTCTCTTAGAGTGGATCCCAGTAGACAGTCGTTTGTGCGCTGTCCGACTGAACGGAACAGTAAGAATCCGGAAAGATAGGGACACTCGTCGTTGCCTCTTCGTCGTCTCTGCCTATTCTCCCACTGACTGCAGCTCAGATGATGTAAAAGATGAGTTTTACAGAAAGCTTTCGGACCTTCTCCGAAAAGCTAAGCGCTCGGATGTAGTAATAATGGCCGGTGACTTTAATGCTCAAGTAGGTAAACTAAGCGATAAGGAAAGACACCTAGGTGGATCTTATGGTGTCGTGGCTCAAAGAACAGATAATGGCGACCGTCTGTTGCAGCTATGCTCAGATAACCGCCTGTTCCTTGCAAATACTAACTTTAAGCATAAGGAAAAACATCTTTTAACATGGCGACCACCTAATTCGTCCCAACGTTGGACCCAAATAGATCACATCGCTATCAGCCACCGATGGAGGGGCTCGATAGAAGACTGTCGCTCATTCTGGAGCACATGCTTAGATTCAGATCATGCTCTAGTGCGAGCGCGCATTTGCTTGCGTCTTACTGGACGTAAAAAAGACGCTGCAAGGAAACCTCTTAGGGCCCTACTTAATGATAGTCAAGCTAAGAGTATATTTCAGGAACAACTAGGAAAACAGTTAGGCAGCCATGTAGGTGATGCCCACCCCGATGCAGCATGGAATGATATCCGAAAAGCTGTGGAAACAGCAGTGATATCTGCTAGTAAGGTAAACAAGAAGGTTAGGGAGCAACACTGGATCTCAGCAGCATCAATCTCACTGATAGATGCTCGGAAACTCATTCCACCTGGCTCTGAACATAATGAAGAGCGGAGTCAGCTTAAGCGCAAGCTGACAAGAAGTCTACGCAATGATCGCGAACAGTGGTGGGTAGCGAAAGCAAGAGAGATGGAAAAGGCAGCGGCGATAGGTAATAGCAGACAATTGTTCAGACTCGTTAAGGAAACCGGAATTAGGAACCCGACTGTTAGCGAAACAATCTCAGAGAAAGATGGACATATTATTCATTCTCAATCCAGGAGATTGGATCGATGGGCAGAACACTTTAGGGATCAGTTCAACTGGCCTTCAGCCACACTTCGGCTTCCCACGATCTCCAGTCAACCTGAATGGCAAGTTAATGTAGGTCCTCCGTCCCTTTTCGAAGTTGAAAAAGCCATAGGAAATCTTAAACGAGGGAGAGCAGCAGGTCCTGACAGGTTTACTCCTGAGATTTTTAAGGATGGTGGTCCAGTATTAGCAGTGAGATTAACCGAGGTCTTAGGTAGAATTTGGGAACTGGACGTAATTCCATCTGACTGGTCTCAATCACTGATTGTGCCAGTCTATAAGAAAGGACAAAAATCTTCTTGTGACAATCACAGAGGAATCAGTTTGACTAATATAGTGTCTAAAATATTAGCTTCAATAATACTTCGACGCCTAATCAAAGCTCGTGAAGAGCAGATTAGAGAAAACCAGGCCGGTTTTCGACCTGGACGTGGTTGTATAGATCAGATATTCACACTACGTCAGGTTCTAGAACATAGACACACATTCAGACGCCCCACAATGATAGTATTTCTCGATCTTAAGGCGGCATTCGACTCTGTTGATCGTGAGGTTCTATGGCAGTGTTTGTCACTGAAAGGAGTACCAAAGAAGTACATTAACCTTGTAAAGGCTCTCTACTCGAACACAACTGGTAGAGTGAGAGCTTATGGCGAACTGTCATCAGAATTGATTACCTCAAGTGGTGTTCGTCAGGGCTGTCCACTCTCCCCATTCTTGTTCAACTTTGTGGTCGACGTACTTTTAGAGATAACACTCTCCTCATCTAAATTTCCAGGGGTTGAACTTCTACCGGGAGGTTCACTTGTTGACTTAGAATATGCTGATGACATAGTTTTATTTGGTGAAGACGCTGACAAAATGCAGAGTCTTCTGACCACTCTAAGCAACAATGCAAGCATGTTCGGGATGCGATTCTCTCCCTCGAAATGCAAAATGTTGCTTCAGGATTGGGTTACATCGACACCCGAACTAGTGATAGGGAGTGAAGTAGTTGAGTGTGTCGACCGCTTCACTTATCTTGGAAGTCTCATCAGCCCTTGTGGTTTGGTTTGTGACGAAATCTCAGCACGGATACAGAAGGCTCGACTAGCTTTTGCCAACTTGCGTCATTTATGGCGTAGGCGAGATATCCGTCTATCAATCAAAGGACGTGTTTACTGCGCAGCAGTTCGCTCCGTCCTACTTTATGGCAGTGAAACATGGCCGGTAAGAGTAGAGGATATTCGTAGGTTACTAGTATTTGATCATAGGTGTCTTCGAAACATTGCTCGTATATCATGGGACCATCGAGTAAGTAACACAGTTGTTAGGAAACGGGTACTAGGTAAGGATGGCAAATCAATTGATGAAGTAGTGAAACTTCATCAGTTGAGATGGCTGGGACACGTGTTACGTATGCCCAACGACCGACTGCCTCGACGTGCTATGTTCAGTGGTATAGGAGTAGGTTGGAAGAAAGCTAGGGGCGGCCAAACCAAAACATGGCACAAATCCATGAAGTCACTGACAAGTGAACTGAGTCATGTTGGTAGGTGTAGACTACCTGGTTGGGGACCGCGAGATGATAGCAACCGATGGTTGGAGACCCTGAATGACATGGCTCAAAATCGTTTGCAATGGCGCAGGTGCATCCACTCTCTGTGTTCTCCCAAATTCTAATCTTCTGAATTCTTCATGTCCCTTTTTTCCTCCTTCCAAATTTATTTCAGTGTATTATACTCTTTAAATAACATCTCCAAACCCTAATCTTCCCGATTACTGCTTATACTCTTATTACCTCTACCACTACGGGATTGAATCGACAACTGCATCTCTGTGCTAATGTGGTGTGGCAACTCGAACTGATGTACGTACGTACGAAGTTCTACGTTGTTACTGACTGACTGACTGACAAGTTCGCATACAGGAGGAGGGTTGGGCATGGGATTAGTAAACCCGTACAATAGAAAGGAAGCTTGCAACAAAAAACGCTAATGTATGGGGAGAGTGAACAACCTTGCCTGTCTCCGGTCCTCACTTGGAAGCTGTGTCAGATCCTCTCCTGGTTCTCACTTCTATTGACGTTGTGAAGTTTTTACTGATGCAAATATGGTCGATGTGGTTCTGTGTAGTATGATGAGGTGAAACCCGTGTAGCTTTGTGTATATGTTTTTAAGGGAATATTGTGCCACCTATAACCAATTTGTTGAATGCATAGAGATTTGCAAATGTCTCACCAACCTCGTTTATTTCTCCCAGTCCACATCGTCCCATGATATATTCATAAAAGATGTTGTCCATTCCGACTTTGGCATCTAGGTCTCCCATCAGGATGATCAGATCTTTCCCTGGAAACATTTCTATGAATGACTGCAGCCTCTCATAGGACTGATCTTTATTGTCGTCCTTGAGATTTTTTTCTACGGGATAGGGTCGGGAACGTTATTTCCAGCAGCAGGCCCATGATGAAGTTGAACAAAAATGGAGATAGTGGACAGTCTTGCCGGACACCACTTGAGGTTGCAAAATCAGATGACAGCTTGCCATAAGCTCTGACCAGATTACTAGTGTTCGAGTAATGAGACTTCACAAGGTCTACGTGCTTCTGAGGTACACCTTTTAACGACAGACATCGCCATAGAACCTCCCGGTCCACAGAGTCAAATTCTGCTTTTAAGTCAAGAGAAACTATCATTGTCGAACGCCGATAAGTATGCATGCGTTCTAGAACCTGATGAATGGTGAATATGTGGTCAATGCGGCCACGACCAGGTCTGAAGGCAGCCTGATTTTCTCATGTTTGCAGTTCACCAGTCTTTGTTAAGCGTCTGATAATTATTGAGGTTAGTATTTTAGGTGCTATGGTAGTCAAACTAATCCCTCTATGAATAAGAACTTTCGTCTAAATTTTGTTGTTTGATTATATTTTCCTTGAAAAAGCTTGGACCAGATTGCCAGGCGAGACGTTTGATTTACATAAAATTCATTCGCTGATATTTTACAAATATATTCTTTTTAATAATCCCTCTATGGTTGTCACAGGATGATTTTGGTCCCTTCTTGTGTATTGGGACAGTCAGTGATTGCGACCAGTCAGATGGGATTACGTCCAACTCCCAGACTTTAACTAAGATAATAGTCGACCTAACAGCTAAAACTGGACTACCATATTTAAATACCTCTGAAGTCTATCTATATGGACCAGCTGCTCTCCCTCGTTTCAGATTAGCTATAGCTTTTTGAAGTTCAATTAGAGTCGAGGGGCCTACTTCAATATTCTATTCAGGCTGTCTGGGAATGGTGGTAGTTGTACCCTGCTTCGGTTTGGGCACCCGGGCAGTATCACAGCCCTCACACATATCGAATGGGATTTGTGTGGCGCATATGTATTTGGTGCCTCCTTGTACCAATGTCTATGTGTTAAAATAAATAAATAAAATGTAGTTGTAGAGTAGCTGAAGGCCAGAGAAATTGCTTCTTATAGTGTCCCTCCCATCGTACTAAACTTCTGGGCTGAGAGTAGATAAGAGTGTCATCTTTTTCCGAGATAGTCTCACTTACACTTGACTTGGTAGAAATAATCGGATTTTCCATGACCCTTTGATTCAAATCATTAATATATATCGCTCCCTTTTTCCACAGCTGTTCGTATATTTGTCCAAGCAACATCTGGGTTAGTCTCGTTTTCAGAACTACCTAAGTGTGACCTCAGTTGTTCCTGGAATCTACTTTTGGCTTTCTCGTCATTAAGTTTAACTCTAATGGGTCTTCTTAATGTAGCTTTTCTGCGTCCAGAGAGGCGCAAGCAAATGCGTGCTCGTATTAGAGTATGATCGGAGTCCAAATAAGTATTCCAGAACGAGCGCCAGCCTTCTATCGAGCTTCTCAAACGATGAATGATAGTGTATTTGAGTCAATCGTTGGTTTGCTGCAAGGAATTGCCATGTTAGACGATGTCTCCCCTTATGCTTAAAATTAGTGCTGTCTGAAAATAAACAATTGTCTGAGCACAGTGCAGCAAACAGTCACTATTATCTGTTCGCTGAGCCGAAATCCCCACCTAAATATCTTTCTGCTTGGTTTAAGCTAACTACCTGGGCATTAAAGTCACCTGCTACGAGCACTATGTCTGAGCGTTCAGCCTTATGAAGTTCAGAAAGCTTTCGCTAAAAGTCATCTTTCACTTCATCCAGGCTGCATTCAGTGGGAGTGTAGGCAGAAACAACGAAAAGGAAACGTCGTGTGACCTTCGGTCTTGTGAACGAATACGCAAACTCTAGACCACTGAGCCAGGCAAGATTTTATTCTTTCTGTAATCGTTATAAGACTGCTAACTACCAGTATACAAGAATTAAAGTATATAATGAACTTAACTTCATTTCTTACTGCAAAGTTGATTTTTAGCGTTAATTGTTAATAAAATTAATTCAATTTGAAATGGTTTGGATTATACCGCTCCTGGTATTTTTGGATGAAATTTGATCGGTCTTGGATGGTACATGGGTAGCCTTTGCGGATTGTCTCGATATATTCATTATGACAAGTTGATATTGGACAGATGGGATATGGCTAGCAGTGGAATCCAGGATGCGCTTTTCGTCCTATTTGGGACTCGTCAGCCGGATGTAATTCAATCCTTGAGTTAATGTTCACTCAGAGACTCGAACCCAAAACTGTTTGCCACTGAGTTATCCACTTAGCTACTGAGTTCTGATAGCCACCTACTTGTGCAACGGACATGAGATCTAGCCCAATTTGTAATGGTTTGGATTATTCCGTTGTTGATGCTGGGATTTACGCATATCCAGTTGACAAGTCCCAAACAGGACTAAACGCGCGTCGTGGATTCCACTGCTAGCCACATCGCATTTATTATATATTAACAAAGTTATTGGTTCTATAGTTTTGTGATAATTTAAAGTGATAACAATTTGAAATATGGTATAAAAAAGAAGAGATAATAATTGAATATTAACATGATGAGATTGAACCAACTTGACGTTTTCGAACAACTCGTTCTTGTTCTTCACGTGATTTAGCTCTATCAAGATGATATTTAGCTTGACTTAATAGATCTTGACAGATACGTGCTTCATCAGCCGCCATAGCTTGATTTAACACTTCATTTAACTTTGACAAATGATTAAATGTACTAAAATGCAAGAACAAGTATGAAATGATCAAACAACATAACCACGTTAAAACATAGTTCCTTTCATTTACTTGAAAGCCAAAATAAAGATTTAGATGGAATGACATGAATTCATTGGATTGTGATAGGTTTTCATCAGATGCTAAATGCTTCACTTGTATAAGTTGTAAGTAACTGGCGAGAACCTAGCAAAACGAAGTGAATTCGTGTCATTTGCTTAATTCATTGTTCTGACTGTATTGAAAATGTTAAAATAATTTACTAATAATCTTTCATGGCGTATGCAGTTAACCAAGAAGAAAGCAGACCAATAATCTAACGACTACGATAAATCGATATGGACAAGGTACTTTAAAGATATGTGTGCTGGACTTATGATACCAATTTCCTTTAATTCTCGCATTACTATGAACGCTGAAAAGTAAAACTGAAGTTAAGACTATGTGATTAGTGTCAAGAGAAATCTGAAATGTATCTGATTTAAGATGGTGGAGATTTGTAGCTCAGATGGATGATTTTGATGGGGTTTTTTTCTCTGAGCTGGATGGTTTGGTCGCAGAGCTCTCATCGTCCTTCGGAACGACATCATCAGCACAAAATTCAGATACAAGTGAAGCGTTCGAATTTCTCCACATGTAGTTCACAGCTTGTCCTGTAGACCTCGATGTTGATTGGTCTACAGGACAAGCTGTGAACCACATGTGGAGAAATTCGAACGCTTCACTTGTATCTGAATTTTGTGCTGATGATGTCGTTCCGAAGGACGATGAAAGTTTTGCGACCAAACCATCCAGCTCAGTGTATTTGATTAAAATCTATTTAGAAATTCAAACATATCTTCAGACTTCAATATATTCACAGTTATATATAGAAAGTTTACAACTTTAAATATAATTGTTATGAGATTATTGAATATGTGCAGAAAGCTGTAGTTTTAAACATTGAACTGGTGGGAAAAAATATTCACTATTTTAATAAAGGTGATTCATGTCATAAAAAAAGTCGAATGTGGTAAAAGTTGGTCTATTTTACGCTTCGTACTGAATAGTTTGGGGAAACAAAAAATCCTAGATTAGAACTATTTGAAAGTCAATATTGTAAACCGGATTATTTTCTTAATTAAACTGTCTATCTGCATTTATATTAGGTCCTGTTCTTGATTATGCACCAACTATTGAATGGATGACTACGCATTCTTTATTTATTTCTTGTCAATATTGTTTTAATTCATTTCGTTTTTAATTGGAACAATTCATATTCACCTTATTCATGATATACCATACTATGAGCTGACTTTATCTGCAACGTTTGCAATGCTCAATAAGATTGTTGTATCCAGTATTTACGGTCACTTATTTGATGAATGCTAAAGATTTCACTTTAAGCCGTGAACATTATATTTGAGTGTTTTTTTATCAGGGATGTGTAGCTTTACTACACTATTATTATACCAAACATTAGACCCTTGAAACAAATTCTGCAGAAAAAATTACGCTGAAATCTGAAGTTGTCATCCACTAAAAACATATAGAGAAATGGCTCAAAGTACTAGATACAAAATACTTATAAGAAATAGGAAACATTGGGCATAATCATAGCCTTCAAAACAGTGTGACTGATGTCATGAAAAAAGATTATAGTATTTTAAAAAAACAGGGTGCTCTACAGTAATTTCCACCTACCATCTGGCCATATTTAAATCAGCTATTGCTTCACAAACAGATGAAAAACTACTTGTCTCATCTTGTAGCACAGTAACAGCTAATCTTTTTTGAACAAAAGCCAAATTGAATGTTAATACAGGATCCCATGGTTTAACATGACGAGCCTATCACATTTTAAATAGAATAAATGTTATTTTTACATGACATGAAAATAATGCATTCTTAGGCAGAGATTAGTCATTCTTGTAGTAATGATAAGGACTAGTAACTACACTTGAGAACTGGTTGTATTATTCAATATCTAGTTATTTACTTGCATTATAGTTTTTAATTTAAGCTTTAACGTCGTCAAAATTTTACACGTTACGAGTTCTTCATTCATTGAATTCGAACACGCTTTTCAGTTATTGGTGCTTCGTTTTTTTTATAATTTGCTAATTTATTGTTATATTGCTAAGGACATTGCTATTGTATTTATATGTTAATTTGACTCTAATTGAAGTGTCGTTAATAAATGTATTTAATATTTGGATTAGCTTGATGGACAAGTATGGAAGAGGTGAAAATCCTACCACTTTCATTGTCCAAAGAAAGAGGTTGGACAACTATTAGAGAAGCAAAGTAAACTAGTAAAAAAGTCTAATAAACCACAAAATTATAACAAGTTATTCTGAGTTCTTCCTAATCTTTGTACTATGCCTTCTGTTTTCAGTACAGCTAATAGTATCGATGATTTCAACTATGATCCGAACGTCACATTGAGTATATGTCTTTGGTAGTTAATATCAATTAAGATTAGCTTGAGTGTTGTTAGAGGCGGTTGTCGCTCACTTAGTATTCACATTGTGAGAAGATACTTAATCTTGAGGGAAACTGAGTTAGGACGGTCTTGACAACCTTAACATCGTGACCGTAGAGCCCAACGAATAACTGACTGATGACGGCCATCCACAGCTTTTTGTGAATAGTTCGTGATATGTTGGTTTCGCACTTTAAAAGTCTCACCATCGAAGACGGAAATTGGCGTGGTATTTTTAGGACTCACATTTATCGACCTCCTGTTGTGGAAAGGTAGTATCACTACAAATGCTAGTTATCCGAAGGAAACATCTCCCCATCGACACAACCTATCACAGCCCATATAACGCGTATTTCACACCAAGTTAATGACAGTTATGTTCGAAATTATTCAGTACGATATGCGATAGTTTCATCAGTTATTCCATAAACGAAGTTATACATGTATTACGCAACCATCATTTAATGAACAGTTCGATAATAATTCCTTTCCCAGTAATATGCACTGCTGCTATCTTAGGTTAAAAATAATAAACAATGTGAACAATCTAAACCGTTAAACCTTATTTATAGTTTGCTTTCCCATAAACTAAACTAATTGGTCGCACAAACTAGGAAGTCTGACTAACACCTAATAAAATTGCAAGTGAGTATATGTCAAGTGAGACTTCTGAATTAATTACTCATATTAGTAAAGCTTTTAAAGAAGTAATAGAAAGTTATGTCATATCATTGTGAAAAAGGACAAATGTTTGTGGACAACAGATAGAATCATAGTTTTGCAGCAGTTAAACAACAACAACTAAAAATAAAACAGACAAAGAGAATATACTTAACAATTATAGTTACCTTTAATAGCATAGTTTTACACTCTTTCAATTGACCAGCTTTAAAATGTGCTCTAGCCAAATATTGTAACAATTCTGTATTATTCTGTCGAGAGAATTTCTTAATACAATTTTCATACTACATTTAAAAAAACACAATGAAAGTCAATATAAATAAAAATATGGATAGATTAACAAGAGTTTAAATAGAAACAGCCATTAAACTATAAATATTCATTATATGAATATGACAATAATGATAACAAGAAAAAAAAGAGCAAAACAAAATGACAATTTTATAAATTACACACCATTTGAATTGCAGCAGTGTATTGTTTTTGTTCAACATAAATATGTGCTATATTAATCCAAACATCTGGGAAATCAGCCGTTGCCTCACGAACTTGTGCAAATACATCTCTAGCTTCATTAACAAATCCTTTATGTGCTAATACACAACCAATACCATGTGCAGCCCATATATTTCTAGGATCAGCGCATAGAACAGCTTTATAGAAAGATAATGCACGATCCTGTATTGATTAAAAGAAATAAAAATCTTTTTTTAAAAAAAGAATCATTATAATAGGTAAGAATATAAACAGTACAAGGTAAGCTATTAAGGTTAGAATGAGCTACTGGATAAATCTGTAAACAGTGATATTTATTAGCCGACAATTTTCTAGTGATGCAAATTTATTCGAAGAATGTTATCTTTTCGATATAATTCATTATTTCTATTGGTTTGTTTACTATCTTCCTTTATTTACTTTTATTGGAGTTTTAAATTGTATTCATATATTGCTTACAAGCTGTTTTTAAACTGTAGCATTATGGATCACGGAGTGTATGGGAGGGGTAGATGGAACATTACATACAGTCATATGCAACGTAGAATCTGGCAAATGAGTTGTAACACTATATCAACACAGCAAGATGCCAAAGTAGTGATAAGTATTAATATTAATGAAACCTGAAAAGATTAGATTCAGAAAATCTGAATAGATGGGATAGATAAACTTTCAAAATAATCAAGGAATCCAGGCCTTATGGAGAGACAGAGTAAATGCATCTGTGCCATTAAGAATGATTTTGTGTATTATCATCCAATGGTAAAGATAATCACACGGACATCAACCTAGTAGTCTGAACCTATCTACACGGCTCAGTCTAACGGTCACTGACTTTATAAACTGATTCTATGTTTTGATTTAATCGGCCCTAGCGTAATTCCAAATAACTCTTACACCAGGTAAGCATCGCCCGACAAAGTAGGCGATGGGTGGGCACTACACTGTAGGATATATTTGTCTGTCATGGTAAAATTTTATCAATTACATACAACTGACAAGTTCAAAATTATGGGTAAAAAGTAGTTATAATCAAAGCTATGTAGGAAATATTTAAAATAATGTACCATTGTGTTTCCACAACGAATGAATTTAAATAGAGGTAGAAAATTGGTTTACAATATAGAATGAAACGCGTTTCTGAATATGTCAACAACATGTACACTAGGACGTGTTCTGTGATATATGTACTAAATTGAATTGTTTTAATGATCATCTGATATCGTGAACCGACCTACTTTAGATAATCACTGAGATACAAAGAACCCTAGACCGTTGCTTTGTCCTAGTACGAGACTTTCCAGAAGTTTATATACACAAACTCAGGGTCTTCAGGTTAATCAGTAGGTGCTTTACAACTATTACTCATTCTTTTTCGCGAGTAAATACTTCACATTCGATGCGGTTGAAATCCACTAGTCACGGTTTCTCAATAGGATTCAGGAAATTAGTCACTAGTAAGCACATGATGAAAAGTTTGTCGCAATATGTAGAAAAGTTTTAATAAATAATTCGTAAACTAGTATGAATTTCCTTTGCAAAGACTCCAATTTGACACTGGTGTTTGCATATAAGCTTCAAGTCAATTATACAAAACCGTCCAAATAATTTTTCACATTGATTATCTTGGATAAATACGATTGCACAGTTTTCGATGTAAAACTAAATGGTCGAAAACAAATGCATTCTTCCCAGTAATATATATATATATATATATATATATATATATAATTTAACAAGTCAACAAAGGTGAACTGGCAACACACGCGAAACCAAAGGTTTTAGGATTCGGTTCTCGAGTGTGGATTTGTGAATACACCCTTCCGAGGAGTCCCATGGTGTTCTAACACTGATTGTTTCATGAATTCAATGAAACTACTGTTAATTTGAATATATAACACATTATTATTATTATCACTATTATTGGACATTGTTGCTTTGTTACGATTCACTAACAATCTTACACAATTAGCATGAGATTTCTATTGAAGAGGTGAACTGTGCCTAGCAATGGAACCTAGGATGAGAATCTCGCCCCATTCAGCAATTAACGACTGTATGTAGTTACATCTCAGTGTTTATATTCACTTTAAAACTCGAACACAGTAGAATTCGTTTCAAAAAGCGACGCATTAGCCACTAAGCTACTGAGTTCAGATAGTAACAAACTTGTTTAACAGGTGGCTTTGGATTATTAGCGTCAGAAGTTTGTGGAGATTTTTTAACTTGACAATAAGTTATGTCACAACTGTGCAAATATTGCAATTCACCTACCTGTTTTATATTTTTTCGAATTGAATAATTATGAATGACAACTGTATGTAATTACGTGTTATCTTATGTAAGGATTACAAATCATTGTGAAGCTAAATACTGAAAAACTCAGACGGAAACATCACAGTCTTTTTTTGATTTATCTTTTGACAAAACGACAAACAGATATGTTGGGATTCAAGTACCGTGTACATGCTTGATAGAGAACGTGAGTGTAGTAGCTGAACTGGTTATAAAATTTAGTGATTGAATACAGTTGGCAGACTCTAACTTTTAAAAACGCTTACAAAATATGTTTTGAATAATCACAATTCGAATGAATGTTAAAGAAATATTTGTTACAATGTAGCACAATTGGTGGCGAAAATTCTTTATTCTAGCAAAACTTTTAGTATTGAATAAATTTAATATTACTATTATTAACTACAGAAATCTAGGGAATAGAACGAGGTGTTTGTCGTAATACAGGACTCTTCAGAGCTGTGCACTCACCCACAACCTAAGGAATAAAATTGGAAATATGAATCACAGGATGTCACCAATTCAGTGGTTCAAGGATAACGCGCTCGCTGTGAAGCTCGAAGATCTTGTCTTCATTCTCTTGTGGGCATAGAGCTGAACAACTTCATAATATGACAAAGTAGTTGTTCCCTAGCTAAGCTTTCAATGATTTTCAACATAATATCAGTCAGTTTACAATCAAATCTTAGAATAATTAAAATCTCCACAATGACAAAAACACAAGAGGAAGAAAGAAACACACAAGAAAATCATGGAACTCTACCTGATGCCTTTTACGTTTATCTTTATCTTTGATAGGATGATGTAGAGTAGTTAACCAAATATTCCCTAAACATATACGTGCAAATGCATCTGCTCTATACGCTGGCTGTCTAATAATCCGATCAAATTTCTTCTGGGCTTGTTCAACTTCATTTTTATTTAAGTGTAATAATCCAATCAGTGTCCAAGCGTCTGGATTATCCTAGATGGAATGTATGTAAAGCAGATTATTCAAAAAAATGAAACAATTAGTTACAGGCAAGTTAAATGGGAAAACAAATGCTACTAAAGGTAAAAAACCAAACGTCAAAAGAAGTATATAACTTAATTATGAGACATGACAATCAGTCAAATTCATTAAGTTCGTCTATCTTCGGAATCCGATAAGATCAGTAAACAGTCATAATATAATATCTAAATGCATTGCATAGTTATGTAAACAGTAAAATGAATAGGCAGGATCAATTTTTGACATATTTAGTATGAGGTTAGAGCAGTATAATCCACAGCGAGTATTTCTTCTTAATTGGGACTCATTTGAATAACTCTATACCTTATTATTCATTTTTAGATTAAAACATGAACTTTGTGTTTTTCATTTCAAAAGACATTACAATACTAGTAATGCTGTGTTTATTTTATTTAAACACATAAACATAGGTACAAGGAGGCACCTAAAATATATGCACCACTCAAATCTTTTGATTTGTGTGAGGGTTGGGATAGTGACCTGGCACCCAAATAGAAGCAGGTGTTTTCCAAAGGGGCCACTCCCCGAACCTTTGACCCAGAGGTCTAATCCACAAAGCAGTGGAGCAACGTTAAGAGATGCAGTCCCATGGTAGCCGGTGACCAATAATAGGCTGACACATCTTATGTTCCCTTAGTATCCTGGGGCCCATATGCATGATTGATTTGGAGCCAGGGTTTCCCAACTCCCCTAGATGGATCTTCTCTATCCACCAACCCGATTAAAGCACCAGACATTTGCTTTTCGTCCTCTCAATTTCGTAAATAACACCCCTGCCGCGAGAAGGCAGTGAGTAGAACTTCCCTGGAAGTGGCTGTATACGAGTGACCAAAGGAAATCATCGTCTGATCTTTCGTGTTTATGTTTTTAATCCTGTCAACGAATTGGAATACGTCCTTAATACTATGTTTCATCAGGCGATTATGGAGTGGTTTCAAAACAGTTACTAGCCACTTTGATACTGTATGATATGGGGAATCGCACATGTCCAAAATTGGCCTTAATGGGATATCTGGTTTATGTATCTTTGGCAGTCCGTATAACCTGGTTAAATGTGTACCTATCGGCTTAATTGTTTCGTATACGTCTTTGGCAATCATCTGTTGATCTCTGAGCTTTTTTAATGTTTGGGTCAGTTCATTCTCTATCTTATTATTGACATCTTTTTGGTTATTCAGTTTCTGAAATTTTTGAAGATCATTCAAGATGTTATTAATCTTGTCAATGTAATCTTTTTTGTTAAGCAAGACGGTTCCTGTTCTTTTATCGAGTTTTGTGATAATCAGATTCTCATCAGTAATGAGTTCCATGATAGCCTCCCTGTGTTTCTTAGTTAAAATACTTCTGTAGTTATATCTACTATTCTTAAACTGATAGCAACAGTCAACTAGGTTTGATTTGAAACGTTCAAGTTCCTGATCAGAGGTCGGGACTAGATCTGATGTCTGACGATTTAGGTTTTCAAATTGGATATCCATAATCACAATATTCTCTCTCTCTTACCCCATGTTGACCATATTTATTCTGATAATTTATCTCACAATTTTATTTCGCTTATAAACTGATTCAAGTTAACACTTCATATTAGTCATCCCAACATTAACATATTACAATTTCCAAATGATGTATTTTGCCTTAAATCTGGCCAATTTTATGGATTATTAGTCTGGATTTATAATTGTAGAACTTGATGAGAAATTATTGAAAAGAATATTCTTCGTTCATACAATTGTGTTTTAAAACGATGTTACCTTTTAAATGACTCCCTGAATAAGATATATGATATATTCAGGCAACGAAGCTTAGAAACGATTGATATTTTTGTTAGGTAGTCGTCACTTCAATAATCTTGGATAAACTCTGTAATAGTTAGGCATATATGGAGTGTATTAAATGATCAGACTTACTGATAGAACAACTTTTTTATCTCAGTCAACCTTGACGTTCAATAGATCTGAGTCATTCACACCGGGGTTTTAATTATCAAATTAGTTAATTGTGAATTGTAATAATTCGATATCTATCCGAATTGTGAGAAACAGCAACTCACTTCGATTTATTTTGAAAGGTTCGTTTACTGAGCAAGTAGGCTCAGTTCAATAGGAATTTAAAATAGCTTAAATGAAAATTAACTAGGAGTCTATGCAATAAATGAAATCATCTCAGAATAAACTAACACTGAATAATTCTAAAAAGCTACTAACACTAAGCGATAGTCAAAGTTATTCACGTCTAACAAACAACATCTACGTTTTACCACCTGAATACTCTATAAAAATGGAAATAAATGAAACAAATAATTACTTACTTGATCTACATCTAAAGCTTCTTTGAACCAAATTGAAGCATCACGAATCTGTCCTCGATCACGTGCAATACAACCCAAACGAAGGTAACCTGGTTATTGATTACATGTTTGTTAAAGGGGAGAAAGTAGAATTTTATTCCATATTTGTTTATTATTTATTACTAGGATTTTAAACAATAATTACAATATCCACAATCAATTCTAATTCCCATTGAATTAAGTAAAAATAAAATTAGTCCGTCATAAATAACGCAACACCTGACTCTAGTATTCAATCATGAACAATGTAGAATATGAGACAGATGAATTGTTTCAAGCTGTCACAGCACAACAAGATGAAATATCAAGATAATTCTTAGTATATTTAAAGTAGCAATATTATCAGTATAATTGGTTGTAGGAAAGATCAGTCATAGACAATGTAATTTGAGAAGAAAAAATTTATGGAAAAAAGTATAAGTTAAAAACTCAAGAAATAAAGACAAAGCGACAATGCATTTGTGCCATTGTGACGGATTCTAAGATATGTTAGCCACCAAATTTAACCATCGGTTACGATAATTAAGAGGACCCCGACCTGGTATGAAGTGTGTAACTGCCCGAGTTATCATACACACCTTGAATCAAGACATGAATTTTTTATGAGATAGCGAAACTGATTACAAGTGAAAATTTATAGGTTATTTGATTTGGGCTCAGTTGTCGTAATAAAGTTGATCGATATGAGGCCAGAAGTGGGATTCAGGATCTGTTTCATTTTATTTGGGACTTTTAAGCTGGATTCACCTCCATCTGTGTTGATACTCGCACCGAGACCCAAACTCAGTGCTGTTCGCTTCAAACACCAAAGTGTTATCCACTGAGCTAAAGATGTTCTACTACTTCTTGGGAAGTGATCAACTTACTAATTCTAGTGTTTTGCAAGGGATTAATTAAAAATGAGGTTGTTTTTGTCAAAAATTTACACTGTCGAGTAGATAATCGCCAAAAACCAAATAGTAGTAGTGGGATAATTCCGAAATAAATTTTCTAAAGAATAGTTTGAGGTCTTAATCATCATCCAAATTAAACTATACACACCGATGACACTGTATGGTTGTATTATACACTTAAATAAAGTTTAAAAAGGACCATAACTAATATAAATCCGGCCTTGATACTTTGAGTATGATTGTATGCTACAGAAGTAGGTGTAAACCATGACGGAACATTTGTCTAATGATCAGTAGCTTTCAGTGATTTCCCAATTGATATTTTTTTCTTATACAGAAAACTATTTTCAATATCTAATGGTACAAATCACCATCTAGATAATTTTATTATAAATTGCGTGAAACATTTAACGCTTAGAAGCTGGTGATACAAAACCATGTGATTGCCCAGATTACAGTGGATGAATTACTTGTTTAACGCTTTAATGATGCAATGATCACATTAGACAATGATAAAATGGCAGTCATAATAACTTTGTAACTAATACAATTAACAGACCCCACAATAAAGAAACTTATGATAGAAATAATCACTATTTGACTGAATATATACTGAGGAACAACACAGGATTATTGATGCACAAAAATTATTCAGCCAAGATAGTATGATTAACGTAGTTTACGTAAAATAAATAAACTACTAGTCCAGAATGAAGATGAAGATCACAAAGTTACCCAATTATTTACTTAGTTCTACAAATTATTTTTTTAAAAACTAGCTCTGATAAGAAGAGAGCTGCACAAGTTTAGGATATTTGCTCCCCAGATGTCCTGGTACAGTCAATGGTGGGGAGAGTCAGCTATCCCTCTCGAAACGCTCTCAAATGGCCACTCGTATACAGCCACTGCCAGGGGAGTCCTACTCATTGCCTTCTCGCGGCAGGGATGTTTGTAGTGAAGGAGAACACAGGTAAGGACAACCGAATTATTTTTAGCATACCATTACATAGTAACTTGGTGAAATAGAAAAACCATACTATAACACTTAATTTGCAAAATGTTCAATAATTGTCTCGGACTTCATTGTTCTTGCATTTCCATACTAATTGCTTTCCATTCCTGTTCTTCCTTTCTTGATCTTCCTAATCTTCTGCTGCCAGACATTACATTCCTGACGCGCGTTGTATACTACTTATGTCAATATAATTAGCACGCACCACATTTTGTTTACGAAATTGAAAGGACGAAAAGCGAATGTCCGGTGCTTTAACCGGGTTGATGAATGCTAAGGATCCACCTACAGGAGCTAGAAAACCCTAGCCAATGGTGTATGAACCTTTGTTGGTCACCGGCTACCATGGAACTGCATCTCTTAACATTGCTCTATTCTCTCATGGATTAGATTTATAGGTCAGAGGATCGGGGGGTGGTCCCCTTAGAAAACCACTTGTTTTGGTTTAGGAACCCGAACAGTCCCTACACACATTTAACGATAACTACTTTGTGTGACGCATATATATTTTGGTGTCCCTTTGTACCTGTGTCTATGTGTTTAGATAAATGAAATGAAATATCACTTTTCACTCAACTCTCTCAACAGCTTCATACAAAATTTAAAAAAGTAAAAATTTCATGGAAATCTTGTCACATCAAAAACTTACACTCAATATAACTTGGATGTCGTAGTAGAATACTCTTATAAATTTCTTCAGCTAAATCTGATCTACCTTGAGCTTCATGAAGTCTTGCTTGATTGTAACGAACTGTAATACTCAATCCATGATAGTAATCATCGTTAGTTAATCCAGAACTATCTCCACCACATTCATTCTCTTCATTTCTTTGCTCTTCAAGAATACGGTCATATGACCGTGTGAAAAATTCCTAGATGAAAATATAGAATTATGCATAATGATGCATGGGTCAGTCAAAGAATTAGTTAAAACAGTGTACGAGTTAGTAAAAACATGCATAGGCTCAAATTTTCAAACGATATCACCGAAAGGAGAGATACAATCGACAACGTCCATAAGCAAAGAAATTGAATAAATGGCAGAGATTGTGATGGTAGGAAAGACTTAAGCTGGAAAAAAATGATTCGAAAAAAGGGATGGATTCATGGAAAAGATTAAAACCATATTAAAACTCAATATCTAGGTGTAGGAAGGAGGGCGATCAGATAGTCGATCAGTCAGTCATGCACAATGTAGAACAAGGTACATATATGAATCATTTGAAGTTTTCACACCGTGTCAGCACAGAGATATGAAATTATCCCATCATCCTCGTAGATTGTTTCGCTCACACCAGACTTCTTGCTGCCAGTGGCTCAGATGAATTGGAAGAGCTTCCGGTAGTTACCAGATGCAGCTTCTGCTTCCAGCTCATTAGCACGCTCCAACCACCAGACTTCTCGGTCCTTAAGCAAGCTTTACCCGATTTCATTACGTAACAGCCTTCGTTTGTGGTCAAACTCACGGTCACCCAGAGTAGATCGACGGGCTTCAATGAGTTGTAAGGAACCAGAAGAAATCCAGTGCTTATAAGCAGGACGTTTCGCGAAGCCGCAAGCGCCTTTACTTGCCATTTCCATGGCGTCATGAAGTTGCAACCAATGCTCATCTATACTTTTCGGTAAAAATGGTAGCTGGCCTAGAAGCTAGCTCGGTTCGGTACTTATTTTCAACAGAAGTTGCAACCAGCTTGCTAACATCAATCCGTTGGTGGTAGTCACTTCGTTGGCCACTGAAAAGTGAGGTAAGAATGGCGCAGAGCAGGGCATGATCAGAGTCCAGATAGGTAATCCAAAAGGAGTGGCAGTCTTGTACACAACCACGCCAGCGGTAGCTGATCGCGATGAGATCAATCTGAGTCCAGGCTTGAGATGCAGAGGGAGGACTCCAGGTGGAACTTCGGCGACGACTGTGCCGAGAGTTAGTGCTAGTCAGAAACAGGTTGTAGTCTATGCACAGTTGCAGTAGACGGTCTCCGTTATCTGACCTGCGACCAACAAGTCCCCATCGGTCACCTAAACGACTCTCTTCTGTACCTAGACGCCCAACCTGAGCATTCAAGTCTCCGGCTAGTACTACAATATCTGTCGAACGCACTTTCTAGAGCAGAACAGTTAACCAGTGGTAGAATTCATCCTTGATTACATCCGGGCTGCCATCTGTCGGGGCATAGGCGGAGATGACGAAAAGACATCGTTTCTCACGCCGATTTCTTCTCACTTTGATGGGACTTTCTGATCTAACAGCACATAACCGACCGTTAATGGGGATCCAATCGATTAGTGCTGCCTCATCTCTAGCGCTTAGTGTAACACCAACGCCAGCAAGACCATACGAAGATGCCACAGAATCCCCGGATAAACGCACGTAAAACAAGCTTTTCAAAGCGACAGATGGAGAGCGAATTTGTAGTACTTCGCCAGAGTCTTGAATACAGGTCCAGGACAGACAACAAACGTCGATATTAAGACTTTCCAAAGACATAGCCAGCCCTATTCGTTGTCCGACCTGCATAAGTGTGCGAACGTTGAAGGCAGCCAGTTTGAATGGTGCACGTGGTTTCAGAAAAACTGCTTCAGTATTCGCATTTTGTGGTAGCATACAGTTTTCAACCAGGAAGTGACTCGAGAACGTTTAGATAGAACCGAGTTTCAACCACAAGCGAGCTGTTGTATAAGTCGAAGAATAAGGATAGACAAAGTGGGAATAAAAGAGAGTGAATAAGTGACGTGGTAAATAATAATGTGAATTGTTTGACTGTTAATCGAAGCGTGATTAGAATTTTCAGTAAATATCGTCATTTTCATTTTATTTGTGAGTAACATTACCGATCCTCTGTAACAATTTGGATTACGATTATGGAGTATACTACAACCACGAATCAACATTTAACATGGATTAAAATAGCAGTCACTGACATTATGGGTTATTACAATGTTTTGACTTGCCCACTGCTCAAATTTTGGCTCAAAGTAATCCCGTGTTAGTTTCATGATCTGAGATTCAAATTTTATATACACACACTAAACGCTTGGTTCAACTGTTATTCATGTAAAAATATTGGGAATAATTAGAAAGGCCAAGCTGAATGATTGATCTTCCCTGTCAAATAATTATCAACAATAACACACTAGTCCAAACATATTAAACATTCAACTCTTTCCGATGATCCACCACAAGGGGTAAATGTACGCACGAGTTACTGCTGCTAATAATGTAAAACTACTTTATACTTTGATGGTATCGGGAGTGTGTTGTACTTCCTGGTCCTAATTAAGTGACTGGGTGACATGTATATCACCTTACAGTAAATGGTATAATATAAATAACAAAATATTTAAATCTTTTTCTGTAACTTACCCACACTAGCATACATCGCATCATTCGGAGCTGTTTGTAATATCCCATAGATGGCGAAATTGAGAAGGAATGTTAAAATTAGGTAAGTTTGCTCAACTTTACTTCCTGGTTTAAGGAAGAATAGAGATGGGTGTGTTTAGATTCCCTTACTCTGTTTGGTGGTTGTTTTCGTGCAGTTTCCAAGATAGCAGTTTAACAGATAATAATAATAATGACAACAATCATTTTTAGAAAAATAATAGTAATACATACTTACAGAAGATTTATCATATTCTCCTTTTATAAAATGAAGTGCACCAATATTGTTTAAAATTTCTGGTGCAATTTCCAGCTGAATATTCTCTAAAATTGTTAATGCTTTAGAATAAGCATCTAAAGCTCCATTAATATCGTTATCTAATAACTGAGCATATTCAATCCATGCTTCGACATCTTCCGGTTGACTTTCAGTTACCTAAATGTATAAACCAAAAAAATTTGATTGAAATCATGAACCAATCTAAGTTAGACCACCATTGAAAACCTGGAAGCACTGGATGACCGTTTCGATCTACTATGGGACTCCTCAGCAGTATACGTCCACGATTCCACACACTGGAATCGAACCCAGGACCTTCGGTCACGGGCGCGAATGCTTTACATTTCAACCATCTAACGGAGTGAAGGGGAATACGATAACCTTATCATATGAACAATTATCAATAATTACGAAAGAAACTAGTCATAAATAGGACTTTTCTTCCCTGAAATCGACAGAAAAGAACTAAAAACCAGTAGGTTTTTTCAAAGTAAATAGATTTCATATTGGATTGATTTTTTAAGCAAGAACTACGTACTTGCTAATTTAACTGTAACTGAATGATTCTTGAACAATTCAAAAGCGAATCAAATCTGTTTTTCAGCAACATATTTTTTTTAGAAAAATGAGAAAAGTAATAAACGCTTTCCCATCTTTGAATGTCCTTTTTATTTACATTAATTCCGTACACAAGTTTAAAGAAATACTAAATGAATGCAATTTACATTTCTTATTATGAAATAATTTTATTCTTGTCAAATTTTGTATACACTAATTACAGTGCAAACTAAAAAAACAAATTATAAATGGATCTAACATTTTTGTCATATATATGACATCTTGAGATAAAGTGAATTCTCTTATCAAAGACTTTTATATAGAGACTGATTCAACAACTATATCACTTGAGAAGTATTCTAGTCATAACTCAATGTTGAATTCATCAACCATTTCAATATAAATTCAACATATATTTTAATCGAATAGCGATATCTACTATTACGATACTATGGAATTCATTTTTAAATCTGTATTTTATTATGATTATTTCAATTTGTCTAATTAGGATCAGTTTTTCTATTGTTTTTAGTTTTAGTTTTCTCTTCTTCTATAGTTTTTTTTTCAGAATTGTACAGTTTTTGTAAATGAACTTGTTGTGTAGGATTCCTTTATTGAATCAATCATTTTATGATTGAATTGGTAATATTTAATTATTTTTTTATATAATTGTTCTATTATTCATTTTTAATAACATTTAATCCAATGTATCTTCTCTTTGTTTTAAATAACATAAATGAATTACATTAATTTTAATATTAATCATACAATGTGATTCATATGCGATTCAATATTTTGTTGAAATAGAATATTTGTTAATGTATAGTTTTAAAAGTGGAAAAGTAGGAAGAAGCGCTGGAAGTGGATAGGACACACATTGAGGAAAGCATTCAACTGCATCACAAGATAAGCCCTCACATGGAATCCTTAAGGCCAATAGAGGGTGAAGAGGAAGACCAAAGAACACATTACGCCGGGAAATGGAGATAGACATGAGATAAATGAACAAGGATTGGATCGAATTAGAAAGGAAGGCCTAGGATAGAGTGGGCTGGAGAATGCTGGTCGGCGGCCTATGCTCCATTAGGAGTAACAGGCGTAAGTAAGTAATAGTTTTAAAGAATACCACAGTATATGATATGAAGTGTAAAGTCAATTATATATCGAGAGTAATTTTTAAAAAAATGATCTATTAAAAATGATTACATAATTATTATAATAATAAACATGTACAGTGAAATAAGTTTACTGGATAAGACCAGGAAAAGAAAGTAAGATTAAACAATTTCATTATCAAATACAGTTGAAAACAAACAACTATATTACCATAATCTTACTTGTTTAAATAATTGTTTTGACTGTGTACGTTTATCTGGCTTGTTAGATTGAGCATACAAACTACCTAGTATTTTTAAAGTTTCATAATTATTTGGATTATCTTTTAGTACACGTTCGAATGACATAGCAGCCTAATTGAGAAGTCAAAAAGAAATAATTACAGTATCCAATAGTGTATATACATGTAAATACTACAACTGGAAATAATGAATATGAAAATTTAGTACAAATGAAGTTGATAACCAAAAATTATCAGTTATCATCAAAGTAAAACCTGTCAACGATTCGGGTTGGTTCAAGTTGCTAGAGCACATTAGCTCAATAAGATGAGATGCAAAAGAACTAAATAATGTTGCAGCAATTGATAATAAGAACAACTGAATACTAGTAATAGATTTTAATCAAAGATGAGTGGTGGTTATCACTGGAATCCAAAACGCACGTTTTGTCTTATCTAGGACTTGTCAGCTGGATATACTTGCACCCGAGTGTTGATGTTCAAATCGAGACTTGAAACCAGTACTTTTTGCTTAAAATGCTCAACGGGTTATCCACTTAACTAATTAAACCTGATAATTAATGCCTTATTCAACGGAGCGAACTTTAATTCACTTCTAAGGTTCTTTTTGTATTTTCTCATTGTGGATATTAAGAATTATAGCTGACCAGACTCTTTTGGCATATGTGAATCCTGTGAAAATGCCTCGATATTACCCCTAACACTAATAACAGAAACATTCGCATAACTCCTGTGAATGAAAACGGAATACGATTCGAAAAGACAATAGAAAAGTATGATATGAAGGAATACTAGAATTCAAGATCGAGAAGACAAAAATGAAAAATTGATTAATTTATGTCATGTGTCAAGTCACTAACCGGAATCCTGATTCTGATTAAATCTATTTAGCGTCTACTGTTTTCTGGACGGCCTAGCATCCCTAAACTGACAAATTACACGTAACATCAGCACCACTGACCTGTGGCCGACGCGGCTAGGTGGTTCCTATCGAACAATTATTCCCATCCCTTTCTCTATCCTCTCTTGTTGGAGACCAGAAGTAGCAACCAGCCTCCGTTATACTTATAATTCAAACAGACCTGGTTTATAAACAGATATACCAAACCATAGAACATCTTAAAATGAATAATTGTTCACAAATTAGGAATTGTACTTAATTGTAATTGTACTTAATCCATTAACCGAAGCTTACGATGGACGGAATACATAGAAATGGTAATCTAGTTACTTAATAGCTATACAACAAAATTATAACTAATTATAAGTCGTAAAACCAGTTTCAACTTCTACGATACTTTTTCGGTTATAACAGTGTTACCTATGTAAATAACTACCAGCATTTCCTGAGCTTTTTTCGGAATGTCATCAAAAATATGAGTTTGAGTTGTAGAGTACTTCTAGTAGTCAAACTATGTATTTAAAACGATGAGTTTAAATAGTTATCAGAAACGATAAGCAAATAAATTAATACTTACATGTTCTAAATCATTACGATGTAAATACATTTGACCAAGACCATAAAATGGTAAAATAAATGTTGGAGAAGCAAGTTGTGTGGCTAAATAATAATACTGAAATGCATTATCATAATTTTCTTGTATATGAAATGCTCTAGCCATTTGATAACAACTTTCAGCACGTATAGATTCCGTTTCAGTATTATAGAATGCATGTAAAGCTAATCGATGAACTTTAGCATATTCCTTTTTATAAAAGAAATGATCAGCTAGATGATTTAACACCATAGGATTAGTTGAGTCAAGATTATAAGCGCGTGATAATTTCTGAACTCCTTGTTTAATTGACTCCTAATATGAGAATAATAATAATTGCGAATAAATACATAAATTGTACATGCTTACTTATCGTTTCGACTTTTATGTAAAATATATTAATTGTTTAGAAAACCCCATCATATTAAAACACTAGTATATGAATGAAGAATGTTTTCAATAAATCATCTTAGGGTTCTACGATTATATATCCAAATTAGTAATTTAAAAAAATTCACATGCTATAACTTTAAACGATATACTTTGCCGTAAACCTGATCACCTTTTTGGGTTATTAATTTAGATGCATTTAATTGTAGGACCTTAAGAGAATTTATTGAAAATAATATTTTTCGTTCATATATTCGTGTTTTAAAGATATTTATATTAACTCTGCTGATCCTCCTAATGCAGAGAGGTGAGATAAATTAAAATAATTCTGAAGGAAACACGATACTTTGATTCGAAAATATTTCACATTAAATAGTCTAAGTTGGTTTTCATTGGTTAAATTATACTCTATTTAGTAGAATAATAAGGTAACTGGTCTTGTAAACTGTACCTTATGTTACATTTCACTGTACTGTAATTTATAATCTACTCAATTCTATGCATATTTATTAGCGAATGAATCAAAATAAATCCAAAACATCCACAAGACGCGACCATAGTTACTTACTCAATTATTAATTAAAACTGAATGATTAACTCAGTTACATCGAAATATCACACGACCACAAAATAAAATTAATAATAATTGTAGTTATTTATGTTTCGATATTAACTTTAGTCATATAGGAAGTGAAATTTGATAAATAAATTTTCCGTACTTATTTATATGTTACGTAACACGTGGTTGAAATGAATGCTTTGATGAATATTTTCTTTTAATAGAAAATTTAATTTGAATTAAAATTAGTCGTTAAGATTAAATAAATAATAAAAAAGACTAACGTAGAACGCTTAATAACGATGGGGTCATTGATGGGAGATCTTTGTCGGTATTTTAATTAGAAACACTTTGGTTATTTATATGTGCAGCCAATATGACGTAGTTCATGAGGCGTACATGAAGTTCTTTAATTTAAAAAAGTTTACATGCCAGATCAACCTCCACAAGTCACGCATTAAACAATATCATGAGAACCATTGACGTTTTTAGTTATAACACACGAAGCCTTCATGTGTTCGGATCGTTATCCAATTAAATAGTGAGACAAGTCTTTATTTTACAGAGGGAGAGGACGAGTCGAAACGAACTATCTCTCAGTCCATATCAATGAAGCGATGGCAATCGGAAGAGATGGAAACATTATTTGAAATAAAACTGAACACACACAACACCAATGTTGTCACAGGATATTTCGTGGGAACGGTAACACGATGCTCCAAAATTAGACCTAATAGACTGTCCTTAATCGCCTGAAGAATAATGAATGACCTAAAAGTTGATTCCCTCTAATCACTTATGACCATTTTATCATGTTCATCTTGTGTTCGTATTCTGCAAATAAGCATGTTATTTCATTCCATGAAAAAAATTCCTTTGACTAGTGGTCTTGTCTATGATTTCTAATCATTCGTCTGCTTAAGTCAAAAATATGATCTTGTGCCATTACTCAATCAAACCATATCACAGCGTTCAAATCTCGACTAACATACTACTTCTCGGTCATAACAATCTAAATTTCGCCTCACGCGCAAAATGTACACCATAGATTAGTCTTTCTATGACTGCTTGCCTCAATTACTTGTAAAGCATTTTTAATACCTCACATCTCTCGAAGTGTGTGTCTAGAAAGAGAATGAAAGCTTCACACGATCATATCATCCCAGTTGGAAGAACGCAATACCTTGAGAATTCCTACGACAACTGTATGAAGTACAAAAACTGTGCTTAAATATGGATTAATGGATAGATTTGACCGCTTATTAAACACTGTTATGTGGCTCACAGAATTTGTTGTAAAACAAGTTTATTTTCTGTGTGGTATGTTAAAGTCACACAAAAAATCGATGATGTCGTTAGGAACTTTATAGTAGCAACATAAAAGCATTCAATTCTAATAATCTTTTTTATTAGTAATGACCAATAACAGTGCACTATAATTAAGACAAGGATTAACGAATTTTATTCAATATATGAAATAAGTAGTCAGCCGCTCATATAACCAACTCAAATTGTTATACTAGTGTAAATCAGTCCACCTAGTACAATATGTGCACTTGGCTTTGAGGTACGATATTTTTGTATGAAGATAATGGGAAGACTATGGAAGTGTTTAATAAACCGAAGGTGGAATCAAGTTCAAATCTGTGATTCAATGGTCAGAAGTTAAGATATTTTAATCAATAAACCACCAAGTAAATGATGGGACATACTTTATTAAAACTTGTTCTAACTATTTATAATTCAACTACTCAATAAAATGAGTATTATTTCAGCGAAATAAAAGTGAGTTTCCATCAGACAATAAACGTGGTAACCCGTACCTACATTTCATAACTACGATTTTCAGACTATAGAAAACTGCCTAATTGAAACTGTTTATAATGTGTAATGCATATACTCTTTTGGGAGGAGGAGGTTAAAACGAAGACAAGAACTTCACCATTTACTCTACCTATGGTCAAAACGTAAATGACTCACTAAAAACAGTCATTTTTATTTTACATAGTTCCACAAATTAAGAGTGAAATTACCTCCTACCTTACACAAAAGAGCACCGATGTGCTGTAAGCCCCGACTGGTCAAATAATTTACACAACAATATAAATGTGATAAAAAAAGAACTTTACTTGAGTCTTTTCATTAAGATCCAACACAGCTAATCCAACTAATGCACCAACACATTCTGGATCTAAATCCAAAGCTCGTTTAAACGCTAAACGGGCCTTTTCCATATTGCCCAATCGAAAAAAACAATGACCCATTCCAAGTCGAACAGTAGCTGGACAATTTGGCTGTAATCGTAATGCTTTACGATAAAATCCCAAAGCATTTCTATATTCTTTTTTATTAAATGCAATACATGCTTTGCCTAGATAAGCTGGTACACTCGGAGCACCTTGATTTAAAACAAAATTTAATTGACTATCAGCTTGACTCCAATTTTCACCTTCGTAGATAAAGAAGAACGCTCGACCCAATAGATGCTTTTGATCGTACATATCAATTCGATCAGCTGACGTAAAAAGTCTAGTTGCTTGAGCAATTAATTGGTTCTTTTTATCCTTGCTTTTTTCTCTGTAAATTATACAAAAATAAACTTTTTAAATACTTGTTTTCATATATATCAATAGATAATTCCTTCATAAAATATGATTATTACGACAACTGAATAGGCTTGCTAAAATTATTGAAATGGATTAGATGTCTGATCTCTAGATCTTAGTCAAGTGTACGTCAAAAAATGAATTACTATCCTATTGGTTGAGTATATGAATTAAAGCTGTTATTAACATTTGAAAAAACTACTCAGTCAAGATAGTACAACTATGAATTATTTGTCTGTTAACAACGCAATAGATAATCCAAGACTGAAAATGAAAATTGCAGAATAATTAATTATTCAACTTAAGCAACAAGAAACATATGCCCTATATATCTCGCATTACACGTATAAACAAACGCTCTGAAAATTAGTACCCCTAATCCATAATTTTAGAAGATTTTCTGATATTTTTTGGAAAATCATTTCCTTTCATTCAATACCATACATTGAACATATCTGTTGATCTGGGATTGTATTGTGATCAGAATTACAATATACAAAAGCAAATTAAATAACATAAGCTTGTGTCGATCAAAGTAATCCATGATTAGTTGATGTGTGAAGACATATATATCCGGCTACACTGAATATAAGAGACTATCCTATATCTAAAACTGATTTAACTAATATTCCACTTTGACCATACTTGTTAACTTTTTGTACTGTTTGATAATGTAATGTCGTTGTTGTCTATATATGGTTTCTGATAGTTGATGGGACTTGGAGTTCATATAATCAAGTATCGTGATTTATTGAATTGGCCTTTAGTGAACGGTATTGATTCAATATCTAAGATGATAAGATAGTCATTCTAACACAAATCTGTACATTTGTCCGTTTTAACAGTGCTTATTTTGTTGCTCATAAAGTTTCATTGGAGATGACTTAAATACAAGTAGGAAAATAAAACTCCCCTAAAATCATCTACTTGAGTTACAAATCTTCTCCACCATTTCAAAATAAAACTTTGACATTTGAACTAATTAAAAATTCATTAACCATGCTGTGAAACCCTAGTTAAACCATATTTTTTCGTTCAGGAATGTAACTAAATTGTTAAAAATGTAATAATAAATAGATAAAAATAACCTGAAAATTAAATGTTAGAGAGAAAACAGTGTCAGAATTGTTGAAAATGTTGCAGATTAACAAGCGTTTAGCGAATTCAATAAAAAAGAAGATAGTTTTTGCCAAGTAATTACTCGTACTTGTAAGCTTTACGACCATAATAATTAGCAAGCATATCTAGCAATCGAACCAAGTCGCTATCATGATATGGTTGAAGATCAGCTGCATTTAGATATGCTTCCTCAAGAACTTTTTCAAAATCATCGTATAATTTCTTTTTATAATAAGCAATAGCAACAGTGATCCAAATTTGCAAGGGAGCTTTTTCTTGATTTAATATGTTGAGCACTTCTTCACCATCGGGCAACTGGTCTGTGTCAAGTTCAATTATTTCGTCACCTCCTCTCAATGGTATTTCAATGGTATTTTCAGTAGGCAATCCGCCATAATCAGAGTTAACAGAAATCTAAAATGAACAGCAATCATGAATGTTAATAACAGAATCACTAGTTCACAGTAAACCAGTGAAAAACTTCATGCTACAGTATAAACAACGTACATAATAACGTGGACTGAAAAGAGATTGTCAGCATGATCCCCATGGGGAAATTCATTTAAACATGCACATTGTAATTAAAACTAAACCATACTATAGGAAATTGTGTATGGCTTCCATAAAGTAGCAGCTCATTGGCTGGATTAAGATGGATTAACCCAGCAGATATGCAAAGGTGTAGTCCAGTTTTAGCATCTAAGTTTATCGTGATACTAGCAAGAGTTTGGGAAATGGAAGTAATCCCATCTGACTGACCTCAATCGCCGATCGTTCAGGTTCATAAGAAATGATGGATATATCCTAGTGTTAAACACAAAAGAATCGATGTGACTAATATACTAGCCTTTATAATAATATGATGCCACAATCAGAGCTCATGAAGAGCGAACCCAGGAAAACCAGGCTGGGTGGTTTTAGACCTGGACGTGGATGTGTAAACCAAATATTCACCCTTTGTTAGTTCCTGGATTAGAGACATACTTAATGACTCCCAACCTGTTTTATTTCTTGACCTCCGGGCGGTGTTCGGTTTTGTAAACTGACAGGTTTTATAGCAAAGCCTGCCATTGTAAAGGGTACTGAAGAAATACATTAGCCATATACGAGCTCTACTTGAATATCACCGGTCGGGTCACAGTTTATGGCAAACTACCATCAGAATCGATAACATTGGATGATGTTCGTCAGGTTTGTTGGCTTCCACAATTTTTTATTTGATTTCCTCATACTCATTCTTTTAGAGAGGATGCTGTCATCATTTGATTTTCAAGAATTGATCATTTACTGGGAGATTTATTTATTGACTTAGAATATGGATATGACAATCCTGCTTAGTGAGAATCGGAAAAATTCATTCCTCCGTTACTCTTGAGCAACAGTGCTAGCATGCACGAGATGTATTCCTATCTCTTCAAATGTAAGATGTTGCTTTAGGACTATTCTGCATCAGTGCCTAAACCAATGACAGGGGGTGAAGTAGCTGAGAGCATCAACAAATACACTTAGCTTGGAAGTCTAATCAGCCTTCATGGATTGATGTCTGATGAAATTTTGGCACGAATTCATGAAGCTCGCTTGCCTTTGCTAACTTGCACCACCTGTGGTGTAGGCAATATGTATGTTTGCCAACCAAAGAACGAGTGCGCCACTCAGCAGTACGCTGTTTTACTGTGTAGTCGTGAAAACTTTTAAAAATAGAGGATATTCGTTGGTTAATAGTATTTAGTCATAGATACCTTTAAAACATTACTCGAGTATGTTGAGACTACTAAATGACAAATGCTTATGTTAGACAAATGTGGAAAATTAGTTGATGATATAGCGAATTTCCAACAAATGGGACGGTTTGGACATTTATCGAGTATATCCAGCCACCGCTTACCTAGATGGGGAATGATAGATGGTGTAGGAGGTTAGAACCAAGTCAAGTCCGACTGAACCAAAACGCAGCATCAGTCTGTGAAGTTAGTGGCTATCGAAATGAGCCATTTAGAAAAGTTCAGAATACCAGGTTGGAGTCTGCATGATTATCGTAAGCGATGGTTACAGGACACTGGATGAAATGGCTCACAATCATTCTCGATGGGCCAAGTGCATTCACTCTTTGTCTTCCCTTAGATCTTAAGTTTCTTAATTATTTTGAAAGTTTACCTATACGACTAATACGCATTTTCTTCTCGAATTATATTATCTGAGTCTAATCTTCTTAGCTCCCACGAATACTAATACTCACCGCTACTCTAGAATCTTGCTATGTTGATGTAGTGCGGCAACTTGTATTGATGCATATATATGCCAGGCTCTGCATTGAATATGACGATGTTTTGCCTAAGAGGGCTAAAGAATACAGCTACCAAGCTACATAAATGAAATGTATGGAGCAGGTTTTGAACCAGTGATTTAATGGTGGAAAACCCACTTGACCAATAGGAGTACAGTAAATATTCATACGTTTATAGTTTCGAGAATGTAATACCTACTTACTTTTAAGACGAACAAATGACGTAATGGAAATGAGTAAAAAATAATCCACCAATTTAAGGATAGTACATCCTGAATATTGTATGAAAGAAATTAACTAACAAAGTAATCGCATAGATGGATTAAAGTACATATTAGTGACACATGACGTGAAAGTTGAGTACTTAAATTATCAAGCTGATGGTTTATTAACACTTATTCTAACTACCCTTAAATCTTCAGTTTCAACGTTCCCTCACACATATATTCTATTTGATCCCAGTAAGCGAACTATATTATTAATTTATGTGAACTTTCGTTCAGGCTTGAACGAATTGTTTCAAAATAAATGGACCCTGAATATATGGAAAATATTAAAAAGACATTATATTTGTAAAAAAAAGTTATTTAGTTTAGTCCAGTAACTTATGTGTTTTTTTAAATATATTGATAGAGAAATTTTAGGTCATGAAAGTATGATTAAGTACCAGGTGATATAACGATGCTTACATCTACTCTTCAATTAGCACTTATCATATATGTAAATGAGTTGCAACTCCGCCTCTAGCTTTTCTAGGGTTACTGCCGGTCCCAAGCCCGGGTGGAGGAGGAGGGTTTGGAATGGGGTCAGCAACCCCGTCCCGTGAAAAACAACCTTGATAAAAAAATACGCTAACCAGGATAAACAAATTAGACCAAGGAGGACTTATGACGCCTGATGATGAAAGCCGGGATGAACAACACCGCGTATGAAGATATAGGACGACATGGATTGACTGGAAGCAAGGGACGAGAATGGTGAGATATTTGCAAATTGATGTGCCTCCAACAAAACGATTATAGGTGATAAGATGAAAATGAAGCTAAAGAAACATTGGACAGCTGGGGAAACAGTATTACGAAGGTTCAATACAGCCTTCCTACGAGATATCAACAAACTCAGCCAATTCAAGATAACACTCAACAACAGGTCCCAGGCCTTACAGGATCTACTCAAACAAGAAACTATTATGGAGAACAAATGGAAAAGGATCAAAGAAGTATTAACTTCAACATGTGAGGAGGTTCTGGGTCGCAAGAGGTACCGTCACAAGGAATGGATCTCCGTCGAAACCCTGGACAAGATTCAAGGAATGAGGGACAAGAAGACAGCAACTAACAACAGTCAAACGAGAACAGAGAAAGTCAAGGCACAAGCTGAATGCAGAGAAGCAAACGAGCAACAAGCCAGTGAGTAGGACTTCGATGCCAGGAGCTATAGTTCCGTGAGTATTCGAGAGGATTTTGAGGGAGTGGACTCTTCTCACTATTAGGGGTGCTAAGTTCCCAAATACGACATTTAGGAAGGAGACAATTTTAACACTCATATGTTGATTCAAAGTGAATTATGTTCATTAGCTTTCGATGCATTATCATTTATGTTGATTTATTTCGTATGAAGCTAGCTTATTAGGTTCCAAGGCCTTTCAGTGTACTAGTAAATTAATTGTTATTCTGCATTCAAATGACGACCGCTCAGTTAATAGTCATTGAACTTGATCGATACATTATCTAATTTAAATGAATATAAATGCAATCTCCCCCGGTCTTTCCCGATAAACTGTTTTAAGAATTGTTTTTAGGAGTAACTAGAGCTAAAGGAGAGTAGTGCTATTGCATGTTGTATCGAAGTTGTCGTTAGATTTATAACTGATATCCCACTAGGTAACACCCACCTATGGCTGCACCACAACACAGTGGAACTAAATATCTAAGAAAACCATCCATCTAGAGGTTTTGCGTAAATCCGCGTCATTAATTTTTACGTTTTGGATGGGAGAAAAACTGCGGAAACCATCTTAATTGAAACCTGTAGTGTACAGTATTATTACACCAGAATTGGGAACTATTTATATAATTCTTTGAGCAATCACTAAATCTCCCATCACCAACCTTTGGTTTTACAATCTGGCAAGATATGAGATGATGATTAGCTTGTACCACGTAATACTTTTTTGGACCAAAAATGAGAGGTTAAGACTTGTTATATCATCAACTAAACCATACTTTTATGATCAACGTTAAGAGATTCTTCAGACTGTTAACAGGTTAAAAAACTGAAGTCATTATACTATGTATGACATAGATGGTCAATTCCATTTTTAAAAATGCCGTTTACTGTTCCAATTTAAAATTTCAGTTGCTTGGTAGTATTCTGACAGTTAGGATCAACTAAGTTTCTAGTAGTATCCGTGGTATTATTTCCAGCAGTATTGCTGTACTAAGCATTTAAGAGATGCTACGACAAACAATTGTATTTTTTCGTTTTAAAATTTTCTCTAGATAGGAGACGCATATGCAAGTGATAAAAGCCGGGTAGCTTTGAATAAATCATTTGTATATTGTTTTCTTTATTTTAGTATAGACCCACTGTAAACATTGTTATTATATGACACAAACATCATGCATCGCGTCTTTCATAAAGCGTATTGTAAAGGTGAGTTTGTAGAAAAATTATAATTAATGAAAAATAAGGTATAAATAACCGAACAGAAAGAAAATATCGCTTAACTTCCCCATCCCTCCTTTTTTCTTACACTGAAATTTCCATTTTTTTGTTAAACTGAGGAAGATATTGCGAGAAAATCACTGAAGTTATTTAGTCTGAACAGTTGAGGTCAGCAGAAAAACCATTTAAATGAGCAGTAGAAGTTGGTGTATTTCAGTAGTAGGTCATTCAATTACAATCAACATAGAACCTGATTCACACAACAACACGAACGGAAATTGACGACAAGATTTTAGGATAGGTTTTCGATATCTCACTAATCTTCACATTACAAGAGAAGACAAAACTACGAAGGAAGACAAGAATATTTCAGTAGATAGTTCTTGCTGATCTAAATAAAACCGATAAAACTTCACCTAAGTCCTAAATTAAAACTGGTAAGCTTCGACATCAATCGTAGAGTGAGATATTGGATAAATGACTTGCTCAGAGAAAGAAGACAACGGGTGAGAGAAATAAATGCCTTATTATTGAGTTCTTCAAGGGAAAATCTTAGATCCTGTTCTTTTTCAATTTACATAGATGACTTATCTAGAGTTTCAAAACCGTCTAGTTTGTGGGTAACATTAAAGTCTGGAAACCGATAAAGTGTGACTGATAAGACACTATTACGGGAAGATTTGAATACAATGAATGAGCACTGAAATAGGTGGTCCTTAGAAGTGAATTCTAGCAAGAGTATGGTAATGTGAACCGATCACTGGGATGATTTGCATAAATAAACGACAAACGGGATGCCATTCCGTGAATTCTGGATTGTGAAAATCGGGAAATCATAAGTAGACATGACTTTAGAACTACGAGTAACTATACTACAGTCAGTTTTAGAAACTTTCGGATCATACGGGGTATTTGCAAGTCATTTCGTACTTTAGTTTAAAAAATATTTACGTTATTACACTCAATGTATGTGGAGCCTCACTCAGAATAAGACAATTACACAGTCCTTGTTTTAAATATGAAGCAGATATAATTGAAATGGTCCAACAGTCAGGAGTAAAAATAGTGAAAGGTCTTTCTGGCCTAACTTATGAAGACAGATTGGTACACCCCAATTTAGTTGCGCCATCTTACCGCATGTTGAGAGGTGAACTAATACTGGTGTAACGCACACTGAGTAAGCGCTTGCATTAATATTGTCTCATTTGTTTCTTTCACCTAGGACTGATCATTTGAAAGGGTATCCTAAGAAAGTTCTAAAACCGAGATCAAATCGTCTACGTTTAGAGTTTTATGTCATGCACTGAGTCGTCAATTGTTGGAATTCTTTACCAGAACTCTATCAAAAACTGTTTTGAAGGATGGATTTTCTCAGAACCGGAAAATCACGAGAATTAATAAGGGCCCGTAGCTCGCCTCTACCTTTGAAGACTAAAAAAACAGAGATAGTAGTAATACCACCGGTAGTAAGAACGACTAAATATACAGGATATGACATTATAAAGCTACATTTGCAAAACTCTGTGCGACTGAAACCAAATACCTTTTACAAATATAAGCTCCGTAGTCCTACCCTATTCCGAGAGCCTTGAGCGACAAATAATAGTAAGAAAGTCTTCAATGAATATTAGTACAATTTTAAAATTTTGCTTTTTAAAGTCCATTGCTTGACATCATGATTTTCAATATATTTTGTATTTTAGAAAGAATGCATGATGATTTTCTCGACGAATAAACTATAACGATTATAACGTTCAAGTCAAAAGTATTAGAGTTGAAAGCTAGGGTTTATAGGTTTCGAGGTGAAAAATATCACAGCTAGGTGTCAGAGTTTAGGGGCATCTAGGTAAAGCCTTATGAATCGTGGGGTTAGGAGTTGGGATTATGTGTGTTACGAGGTCGTAGTTCCCAGACTAACTTGTGCACAGTTAAACCTAATACGTTTGTTGATCATATGAAAACCCTCAATTCCCTGTGATTTTATCATTGTCTTACATTTTACAAATTTCACAAAAGCTGAATGATAGTTGAAATTTGTGAGTGATTATTCTTAATTTAACCCTAAGAATCGCTTACGACAATCGATATGGAGTGCTAATGGCGAAATTTTCTGAGAATATTGAATGGAATCTAAACTATGAAATATAAGGTGTGGGTGAAGGAACATTTATACTGAAGATATAGTGCAAAGTAGAATAAGTGTTAATAAGTCATCAACTAGATAAGTTAAGTGCTCAATTTTTACCCATTTCAGTCTTCAGTAATAAGGATAGTAGGTTGGTGAACCTGTATTAATCCTGACACATTGCTTTCCAGTGAAGGTCCAGCTCCTCATCATAAAAGCATGACTAACTACATCCATGCAGACACAATATGATAAAAGCATAATGAAGTGCATCTTAGAAGTTAAATGAAATAAAGCATACATCCATCCTATAAGACTTCAGCGACCCGGGTAACTTCAAGGTAACTTCAAGGACTGCTATTGAGGTTAGAAAATCTTGGTATTGCCGGACGGTTTTCAAAATGGCTTAAGGATTTCCCAGTAGGTCGTAGACAGAAAGTAAGAACAAATTCTAAGTTCTCCATATGGAGACCAGTACTTAGTGGAATACCTCAAGGTTCCGTCACAGGCCCTCTACCTTTTATACTGTATGTAAATGATCTTCCAAGTATGATACAGTCCTCGATATTATTATACGCTGACAATGTGAAAGTCTGGCGATTAATAGCTGGATATACAGTGCATGCGCCCGTCAGGCAAACTTAAATAATATGATTAACTGGTCTAAAGAGTGGCTGATGCCTATCAATGCGGCAAAGTGTATCTATGTGCCTTTTACCGGATTCAAAGGTTAATAGGTACAGCATAGGGAAAGTGTTAGTACCCGTGTTCCGGTTTCATAAGGATCTAGGGGCGACAGTGAGTCATGATCATAAGACGACGGCCCATTGTCGGGAGGTCGCAGTTAAGGAGTTTAAATCTCTATGGGCTTTTAAACGGACATTCACCAAGTTATATACTAACATTTTCACCACAGTATACACAACCTTAGTGAGAGATAAGCTTGGAAACTGTGTTCAGACTGCAAACCCCTGTTTAAAAGGTGATTCGGATATCCTAGGAAAAGTACAGAGGGTAGCTACCTGTGCAATTCTAGAACTCTGAGGTTTACCAAAAAAGAGCGGCTTGAAAAGCTAGACCTATCGCAGACAAAGGGTAGATCCAATTTTGATGTAAAAAATACTAAGAAATGATTTTAGACCTAACATGTTATCTCTTTTACTCTTCACTAGATCGGGACATCTCGGGGGATATAGCAGACGAGTAGAAAAGCCAAGAAGGTTTTCACATCGAGTCATCAATTCTTGGAACCTATTACCCGAAGCAATGGTGTTCGCAACTTCAATTGACTCAAATGAGAGAAAACTATACACTTGTATTGGCATTGGACCATGACCACACAATCCTGAAACTGAACACGAGACTACTGGGAAAATAGATATTCAATATTTAACGCTCAGAAATACCTAACGATGGAGAAGACGGGAACAAAGAATTGAACCAATTCGAGTTGGTCGGATGGCATGACTCGGCCTTGCAGGCGTGGTTCCTGTTGAATGTTACTTTATATCTTTTACTCATATTGAATATATTGTTCCATCTCCAGCCTGAATGTGTCCTCCATCATATATTGGGAATTGCTACGATGTCATGAGTCAGTGTAGACAACCATGTGGCTTCCACGCAAGATCTCATAGACTAGGCAGTTACACTATGACAAATCCGCAGTTTTAGGATCAGGTCTATTATTAGAACAGTTCTAATATCATAGAAGACCATAATTCTACACACCCACAGAAGCATATTAGAAGGGGAATAACACAGGCTGTAGGCCTCCTGTCCTTACTACACAAATCCTTAAGCCATTTTGAAAACCGTCCGGCAATACCAAGATTTTCTAACCTCAATAGCAGTCCTTGAAGTTACCTTGAAGTTACCCGGGTCGCTGAAGTCTTATAGGATGGATGTATGCTTTATTTCATTTAACTTCTAAGATGCACTTCATTATGCTTTTATCATATTGTGTCTGCATGGATGTAGTTAGTCATGCTTTTATGATGAGGAGCTGGACCTTCACTGGAAAGCAATGTGTCAGGATTAATACAGGTTCACCAACCTACTATCCTTATTACTGAAGACTGAAATGGGTAAAAATTGAGCACTTAACTTATCTAGTTGATGACTTATTAACACTTATTCTACTTTGCACTATATCTTCAGTATAAATGTTCCTTCACCCACACCTTATATTTCATAGTTTAGATTCCATTCAATATTCTCAGAAAATTTCGCCATTAGCACTCCATATCGATTGTCGTAAGCGATTCTTAGGGTTAAATTAAGAATAATCACTCACAAATTTCAACTATCATTCAGCTTTTGTGAAATTTGTAAAATGTAAGACAATGATAAAATCACAGGGAATTGAGGGTTTTCATATGATCAACAAACGTATTAGGTTTAACTGTGCACAAGTTAGTCTGGGAACTACGACCTCGTAACACACATAATCCCAACTCCTAACCCCACGATTCATAAGGCTTTACCTAGATGCCCCTAAACTCTGACACCTAGCTGTGATATTTTTCACCTCGAAACCTATAAACCCTAGCTTTCAACTCTAGTACTTTTGACGTTAACTTAACAATCGTAACATTTTATTCTATTCGCTAAATTGTATACGAATATGTGAATTTTAATGGGTCATGGTGCCTTTACTCTTCCTTCAAAATTTCTCCATTTCAAAATACATGAAGATTTTCTGCTCTGCTCCTGTTAGTTTCCTTTCTTTTTTCTTGCCTTCCTATTCAGCCCTCTTGAGAATGGCTACAGAAAGCACATATGAAACTGGCGAATACGTCCTGCGCCATCAATGATGTTATAGCTGTTCCACAAAAACATGATGTATGATTTCTAGAGGCTTTCAACTCTACGTGGATTTATTCTCGACCATCAGTGGCACGTCGAACTGCAACCTACATAAAACGCACCAACTGTCATATACGGGTTTTACTGGTGTTGGAAACATTCAGATGTGAGAAGTGTTATCTACCATAATTCTGTAATCAGTGTACCTTATGACATATCATTCTAACTGAGTAACACACAACAGTGAAGACTGTATCTTCTGTAACTATTCGATCTTGCGTGTACAGTGGCATGCTTCGTATAACAGACTTATTCGAGAATAAATTATTGTTATTATTATCAAACCAAACTGACATTTGTGTATCTAATAGATCAATCAAACCGACATTTCCATTAGAGTGGAGCAGAGGAAAAGTAGGCGGAACAACATTATAGATCAAGAATTTATTGACCTCCTTATTTTGCTTGGGTATTATAGTACTTGTCATTCTATAATGAATGCTGTAGGTCCGTGTGTTCAAAGTGGAACTTGACGCTCAAATTGCCTGGCCCTACGATCTCAGTAGAAACTTACTATAACCATTTCTCCAGCTCTTTTCAAGTACAAAACGCTGGATAAATGGTAGCAGTAAAAGTCTCACTATTTAGGAATTGCAAAATTCTCTTATTGTAACCCTGTGTAGTTATTCCCATAAAATGTTTTTATTACAAACCAAGTCAAAGGGTAGAGATAAAAACTGTGTAAGTTTGGAATAAACCTGGAGTAAAATTAAAATACACCCACCCACGACCTGGGTGCTGAGATATTCATAAGCAACTGTACTTGAATTTGCTGAGTTACTTGATTCATATCAGGCTTAAAACCCACAGCAATACAGTAAAGCATAGGCAGTTGATAGAATTAAATTCAAGCTGACAATCTAATTGGTTGACTGCCTCGTTTGTCTCGTGAATGCGTTCGAATAACCTTAAACGATGTTTTCATGCACCTTAATATTTTCATCATGAACCACGATATCATCCTGATACGATTCAACACCACCACGTCCGATGATAATTTGGTCTATAACCTACTGCAATATGGCCGATGAAAGGTTTACTCCAAACGGAAGCAGTTTGCTTTTGAACAGTTCGAATGGTGTATTATTAGTAGTTGGTTCACTAGAGATATCATCCAATGGAATTTGCAATAATGCATCTCTATTTTGAAAAACACCTCGACCGACGTAATTTATGTAGAATATCTTCATTTTCGACAGTGATACAACTCTGTTGAAACAGCCGAGTATTTAGTGTCATGCGGTAACCACAGCTAATTCTTGATGTTTTTCATCCACCTTTATTGCAGTCACAATAGTAGTCCAAATGAACAACTCAACAAGTTCACACAGCTTATTCCTTACAGCCTTCCTTAAACCGTGTGAAATTAATGTAGGTTTCGAGAGGATGGGCTCCCCCATTTTAGTTTAAGTGTACTGGGTTAATTTTCACATCTCTCACGGCTTTCGAGTCTTGTAAGATCAGACATTTGATCGGAGTGCTTTCAGAAGAATGGGTGCTGAAAAAACTGCTAGCACCGAAATTTGTCTAGCCCTTTAACCCAAGCACGGCTGGATAGTACTCACTATGCTGTTTGGTAACAGCGTCACGAAGATCATTATTAAACAATTTATAAGTTAAGCAAAAGTCTTGAGTCATTTGAAAGCCCAAAAAATATTCTCGCCAGAAGCTCTCCTAGTTTAAGGTCATTTATACCAATGAACAAATGATCAAGGGGTTGGATGTGATACTGATTATTGGAGGTGCACTTGGAAGATTGTGTCTGGAGCTGTGCCATGTAATTTTGTTGAACTATGATCTTACACGTGTTTACAATAATGTCACTTGAAAATGATCGCTCAGAAATCTATTTAGTTTGATGAACAGAAATAGAATAGGTTTTTCAGAATACACAGGGTTCTAAAACAAAATATAGGCATCATTATGTTCTATCCGTTTCTTACATTTAGGAATGATATTCTGAGATGAAACTTTAAGACATCGTTCAAGAAAATAAATTCTGTTTATACTTTCAAAGCATGTTAGGATCTTCACAGGGCAACATGGGTAGCTGGAACTTCCATCCTTGTTTTAGAGCACATTCATCTTTGGAGTGATAATACCAGGTGCTTGATAATAGGAGACTTTAACGCACCTGATATTAGTTGGAATGATATGACCACAGAAGGATCTATAAACTCCTTTGATAGTAGGTTCCTGGTAACAATAATGGAGCATGCATTAGTGCAGCATGTATCCCAACCCACACGTCTTGGTGTTAACCAGGGTTCTTCTCTGCTGGATTTGGTAATCACTCATGAGACTGAGGATATTGTCGACTTAAATATTCTTCCACCGTTAGTAAACAGCGATCACGCTGTTTTGTCATTTGCGTTTAGAACTAGGGACATGTTATACGATCAGGTTACACCCCGCCCAAACGTATGGAAAGCTAACATATCGGCCATTCAGGAATGCGCTGCGAAGACAGATTGGTTTCCAGATACTAGCTTATCAGTTGAAGAAGGATGGTTTGTATTTAAAGGTACTTTTAGTTTAATTACGTCCCCGTTCATACCATACCTGGTACCACGAAGGTCGAATAACAGTCCACCATGGATAACTAAAACGGTCAGGAAACTCCTTAGAAAAAGGAAGAATCACTGGAATATGTTCATCTCTACTGGCTTAGAACAATACAGATCCAGTTATTGTAAGATTAGGAATGCCTGTAAAGCGTTAATAAGCAAGACTAAACATTCATACGAAAAACAATTGGTTAGGGATTCTAGATATAGTCCGAAACGGTTATTCTCGTATATAAAAAGGCGAACTAAGAGAAGCGATGGAATTCCATCACTTTTGATACGAGACAATCCGTTAATCTTAGCAGAGAATGATGCCGAAAAAGCTGAAGCGTTATCGGAATATTTTAGTAAGGTGTTTTCTATCAGTAATGAGGAACGACCAACCATTCATCGCGACCGTGACGGCTCGCTGATGGATCCTGTAGTCATTGAGAAAGATACTGTTTTAAGGCTACTTCAGCATCTCAAACCTGATAAGTCCAGTGGTCCCGATGATATTCATCCTAGGATTATGAAAGCCATATCAGATGAAATCACTGAACCATTAGCGATACTATTCGACATGTCTCTGAGACAGCCCAGACTTCCTAGAGACTGGAAAGACGCCATAATAAGTCCGGTGTATAAGGCTGGGAGTAGGGATTTAGTTAGTAACTATAGACCCGTTAGTTTAACTAGTGCAGTTGTGAAACTGATGGAGAAAATCATTCGGATAGCTGTTATAAACTATGTTGAAGGGCAAAATCTTTTCTCCAGGGCACAACATGGTTTTCAGAAAGGCCTATCTTGCTTGACAATTCTTCTCATTGCACGAGAAGAGTGGGCTGCGGCAAAGGATCGGAATGCTCCTGTAAATGTAATTTTCATAGATCTAAGTAAAGCCTTTGATAAGGTTTCACACTCTGGTCTTAAATTCAAACTGAAACGTTTTGGAATCCATAACACAGTCGTCGATTGGATAAGTAACTTTCTCCATGACAGGAGACAAAGGGTAAGGGTTAATGGGGCTCTCTCCTCGTGGGTACCTGTAAAAAGTGGGGTTCCCCAAGGCACAATCCTAGGTCCTCTTCTCTTTTTACTTTATGTAAATGAATTGCCAACTGTAGCAAAATCATCCGTTCTACTCTTCGCTGATGACATAAAGATTTGGAGACCCATACACAGTATGTCGGATAGAATAGTATTACAGGACGATCTTAGCTCATTAATGGCATGGTTAGACAGGTGGTCACTAGAAGTAAATCCTAATAAGAGTGTAGTGATGCAGTTAAATAACTCTGATGAATCGTATGACTATACACTACGTGGATTCGTGCTACCCAAAACAAGAAACTATAAAGACTTAGGAGTTATATTAAGCAATGATCTCAGAACGACTAGTCACTGTAAGGCCGATGCTGCAAAAGGCTATAGGGTATTATGGTCAATTCGTAGGTCTTTTCAGTATTTAGATGATGAAATGTTTGGATTACTATACCCGATTTATGTGCGACCACATTTAGAATACGGGCTTCAAGCAGCGAGTCCTTGTTTCAAATATGAAGCAGATATGCTAGAAAGAGTCCAACGACGAGCTATTAAGATGGTACAAGGTCTAGCTGGCCTATCTTATGAAGACAGACTGAGACACCTTAACTTATTTCCGTTATCTTACCGTAGAGTACGGGGTGATCTAATATTGGCTTATCGTATACTGAACGATGACCTTGGTATTAACATGTCTTATCTTTTGCTTCCGTCTAGAACCGATCATTTGGAGGACATTCGAAGAAAGTTCAAAAACCGAGATCAAACCGTTTACGTCTGGAGTTCCGTTTCTCGCACCGAGTAGTGAATTACTGGAATTCCCTACCGGAACACGTAATATCAGCACCGTCTGTTAATATATTCAAAACGAGATTGGACCTCCACAGTATTACAAACTGCAAGGATTAATATAGGTCGACAGACCTCCTATCCTTATTACTGAAGACTGAAGACTGAATAGTGGACTGATAACGCGCTACTTTCTTTTTCTAGGTCACTTAGGTATGAGTGTTTCCGTACCAAAGAAGTCTGAACCCTCAAAGATATCTGATTTAATTGATTTTTGCCCGACTCTTAATTTGTATTTAAAGCCCATAGCTCGAGTGTGTATTACAGTTCAGATCCCTCTTCTTCATGATACATCTGGCCAGTTAAAGTCGTTTACTACATGGGAGATCATTGAAAAAATTCGGCAACTATGTCCTGGAATTCTTGCACCATCCACTGTTATGAAAGTAGTCCACACTACATTGGAATTTGTTAGGTTCGCTGTTGACTTGGAAAACAAGACCGACGTCAGGCGCGTGGTTACAAGTTTGGAAAGTCAGGTAACCATACTTCATAAGAACGGTTTTGTATACATTAAGGCCAATCAGGGTTTCTTCCTCTATTTTTAAATTTGTCGTCACTATCGACTATTATATGTGATTACATAAGCCTTATGCATTTGTGCGTAAGTAGAAATAAATTCAATCCTTTAGATAATTTTGTTTTGTGAAAGACTGAAATTGCTCAGCTTATTTATTAGCAATCCTTATTATACTTATATAAAGCTTTTATCGCAACGAATCGATCATAGTTTCAGCTACTCTAGGTGCTAATTGTCAGGAGTGTTATTATTATTATTATTACTAGAAGCTTTATTCAACATTATATTTTTGGTACAACATAGAATCCTCAGCATAAAGTATTTCAACAAGTTTCCGTTTTTTATATCTTGATTGATTGTGATGATAAATTTTGAATGATGACCAGTTAGATGTTGTATGTAAAATATATTTATGTTGTCTGTAGAAGCTAAATTATCATGTAATCCCGCTGCAACTATAATCATTGCGTTTAGAAACTGATGTGAATCTATGATGCTTAATTGCTCAGTTTTGCCTTATATTACACAAGTTTCTTTTTGTGGATTAAACGATTTATTAAATTTGGACTCTTTCTCAATTCAGGTTCAATGCAAAAAGTTAGGAACAGTTTGAACCTAGGTTTTTCTTAAACTTTTGAATTCAGCATTTCGAAGATGGTATGTGCTTTCTATCCGAGAAATTTGACACAAGACTGTTTAACACTGCACTTAAATGCATGTACTGATGTAAAAATTTGTTGAAACTTATGAGGTTGATAAATAGAATCTATGAAATAATATTGAAACCAGTGACTCAAATAAGTATGAAATAATTACATCCACGCTACGGCAATCAATTCTAAATACTAACCACAAATTACGGTTGCCATATACATCTCAGGTGTATTTGTGTAAATATTTGTTTCCTGAACTTGTACATCGATGTGTAACATTAAATAAACCTATTCTTCTATGTATTAAGTTCTGTTGGATGTCAGGTGTTAGATGTTAATACGATCAGTGAATGTAGCTACAGTAGTTTGTATAAAAGAAATTAAAATACTCGTTCCAAGAGTTGATTAATCTTACACTCGAATAAGGTAAGACTACATTTACTTAGTGTCTTGCTTTTTGGGTCGATAGTGGTTATTAGTACTCAGAAAGTTTATGCAAGTACTTTCCTTGACGGCAAATGACGTTCATGATAACGAGTGACAGTGAGGTTATCCAAAATTAGTTCAAATTCAATTTTTTCTTAAATCAAGATACTTCTATATGACTATGAGTACTTTGTCTGTAGTTGCAGTGTAAACATTCTTCGCACTGTTATCTTTTCCCACATGACCTCCGATCCTAAAACAATTAGAAAAATAGTCCTTAATACATTTGGTCGCTTAATCTCTACTCAAAAACAACATTTTACTGAACGATATTTGGATATATGTGCTTAGAGAGTCATTTTAGTAACCACCTCGGATCTGATAAATTAATTACTGGTCTTCAGTTTCAGTTTAGAAAGGATAAAAGGGTGGAAGGGTTGTGTTAGTCCTAGTTGTGAGGTCCACTCAGTTTACCCAACCTACTTTTTAATAACTAAAGAAGTTGTAACTATCCATCGAGACAAAGATTTCCACTTGCTGATAATTCAGTAGGAAAGTTGGTAGTCAGGTTATTTGTTCAGAATTTTCTCGCAGTATCCGCATTAATGTCCTGTTCTGGTAGCCGAATAAAATGAAGGGATTATAGAGGAGTTTGCCGGATGGACGAGTTTTAGATTGTTAAAATGGATGACCATAGATGATATCCGATTGTACCGTTGACGCTGTGATGGCTGTTTACAAGATCGGATCACTGACTCCAACCCTCTAATAAGCTGAGATCAAAGACAAAACCACTAATCGGAAGAATAGGTTTTTATCTAATGAAATATCATCCTTATGTATTGGTTCTGAACAAAAAAAATAAATACGATTAAATATCAGAGGTTGTTGGAGGGAATCAGTTTCGTGGGTCACTCACTAATGAGTTTAAACCTGCCTATTAGACTTAATTATTACCAGTCACGTGACAGGGTATGTCATATCAAAAGTTACCACTACGTAGTTTAAAGACTGTAATCAGTTGACCTCTAGTACTTTTATATGATAATGGGAACATAACATAATTTCTTCATATCATCGGTTTACAATTTCCAGAACCAACTTAGCTGCAGTTTTTTAAACTGGTTCCGACAGCTTACTTTTTTAGACAGGAACTGGCTGTTTATATCCAATTCTCACATTTTTCGGACAAATACTACATACAATTTGCGAATATCTTGGCATTCACGCAACCGAAAGACCTGGGTATTCCATAAAGAATTCTAAAACTTCTGGTAAACACTGCATGGGAGTGTACGTTGGTTTTTAAATCTTGACTAATAACTATTTTGATTACTATTCGTTTAGACAAAGGGTAACTCAATACTACTTATCTTTTATTTTGTTGGTAAATAACTGCCTAAGTTCTACCGGTTCCATTTTAACATGGATAAGTTGTTGACACTTTCTAGGATTTTCCACGAGCATATTTATTTAAAATTTATCATCAATCCGTTATAGTTTATCAAGCTAAGTGGATTTCCACAAAACCTTCGTGTTCGCGCAAGTGAAGCTCCATATGACTGTCCAAGACGTCATGATTGGGAAGCGTTTTTTCGTGATGCTCAAAATATGGATGAGACTAAATCTGGTGAGAGGCCTGACACTCTTGTACTCACTGGTCTTCCTATCAGATGGTTTGCGAGTGGATCACACAACAGACCACGATTTCGCGTTAATAGTGATGACACTAACAGCAGCTATTTATCCCTTTTGGTTGACGAAGAAAAACCTGATCCTTCGATTGTAAAAGAAGCATTTGAAGTAAGTATAAGTTTTTTATGGTAATTTTTGTTCCTTTTTTATAATATTTACATTCTTTCTCATTAAAATGTCACTGACTATAAAACTCAAGTCAAATTTCGCTTAAATATAATGTGGTAGTACAATCTCAGCCAATACGTCAATTTCGTAGTTTCTTACTTTAGCATTTGACCTTCAACCATTGAGTCACGTGTTCGAACCTCGCCTTTGTATCAGATTTCAGACATATATACATATAGCTCATAATTTACTGCATAAATCTCCACATTGTTGCGAAGTTTTATTGAGTGCTATCGCCTTAATTTTCGCAAGTGGTACATATTTGTCATACATGGTAGTGTAATTAGCATATGATTCCAATCTTATTGTTTTTAGGTTGTTTATTAATATTCCATTAAACAAGTATTATCTTTATTGTTATTTCTTTTACTTTTGAGGTATTTGGAAAAATTCGGGAGATTGATATTCCAATGTTAGATCCTTCACAAAATCCTGATTGCTTGGAAGATTATATAAATAGCTATGACACTTTAAATAGTTCATGTGATACATTAAAAACGGACACTTCAGTTAACAAACCCATTGAATATTCTTTCCGTAACGGTTCTGGCTGTACAGAGGAATATATCGGTGGGTTCGGAAAAATTGGTCCGGATACAATTGGAATTTTAAATCCAACTGTACAACACAGTGTAATTAATTCGTCTTCAGCGGACTCTGACAAATCAAAAGTATCTCATTTGATGAAGTCGAGAAACTCCAATATATTGACTAGTCCAACTAATACAAGTGTTGGTAGTCCACTTACATTCATAGCATATGTACAATATATGGATTATACTGGATTTAGCCGTGCTATGGACATGCTGCGTGGTCAGAAACTTGTTTATGCTCCAACTTATCGAAGTCAGTCATCAGCATTGGCAGATCAGAATGAAAAGTTGTATTATGCAGCTGAAATTAAGGTAAATCAATTCATTACCAGTCTTACAATTTCAACCCATCAAAAGTAAGATAAGAATCGATTGAAGTAATTTCTCCTAATCATAATATACAAAAATAAGTTTATACTTCATATTATTAGTTACTCTAAACATTAGATTGCCATCAACAGAGTCAATAACAAGTAGGAACCTAATATAAGGTTTTTTTGTATTTTTGAAGAAAGATTACCGCCCATCAAGTCGGTATTTGATGTAAGATGCTACGTAAATCTTACTCTTAACAAGCAACTTATTGTATAACGAACAAGATTCTGTTCGATGTCTAACGTAAAAGTATATAAACAATATCACAAGTGGATCATTTTCGTAAACAACACCCCCGCCACGAGAAGGCACTGAGTAGGACTTCCCTGGCAGAGACTATATACGTGTGGCTATGTGAGAGCATTTCGAGAAGTAGAGTGGACTCTCCCCACTCTCGGCTGTACCAGGGCATTTGGGGGCAGTGCGAATAAATTGACGAGATAAACAACAATGGTGTCGAAATAATCACAAGATAAATGATTGTAGAGAAGTTTGGACATAAGGAATATTGTAGAATGAAGAAGTGAAATGAGAGAAGTGACGATCAGAATTAACCGAAGTAAATCTTAAGAGTTCGTTTTCAAATTTTAGTTGACAATTATCAGCAGCTTCGGGAAAATGCTTCTTCCCTCAGAGATAAAAACTTTATCATATGAGATTTCAACTGTTCGCGTTTTGCGAATCACAACTTTCAATAAACGTAAATTTTTAAGTGATAACTTGCCTACTAATTGTTTGACAGTATCAAATACGAAACATAATAAAGTTTATAAAACGTAAAATGTTGTTATATAGAAATAATGAGTAGGAATTTCAGTAGTAAATTGTCACTCTCAAATATGTATGTAAGATTGAAATTTTCGGGAAGATATTATGTATTGTTTATAACTAATACACTCGATTCTACTGTAACTTGGTTAAACATCATAATTGACTCACAATACAGATTTATACTTAACTTGGTTTTGTAAGTCAAAATTTTATTGGTTTAATGAACGGATTTTCAACTGTCAAAGTAAGTGAAAAGAACTTTTACTCAGCAATGATCTACGAATGATAGCTGTTCAGAGAAATTATTGACATATGCCTTTGGATAATTTAAAATAAAAAATAAGATTACTAGCCAAACGAATAAATTTTTTATGTCATGAAGTCACATGCTTATATTCAGAATCTTAACACATTATATTCTATAATGTCACGGACGATTGGAGGATATAAATTTGTAGGTCACTCATTCTTCATTGCATCACTTGAATTATTTGATACTCTATTAACCAATGATACGACTGAACAGACAAAAAAGAGTTTATTTGCTGGAAAAAATTTGTGGATATCTTTGGGGGAATTCAGTGTAGTCTACAATAAAATCAACTCTTTAAAGGATGACAATTTCAGGCGTTCAGATTTATTCATTTTCGTTCTCAGAGTAACAGTTTCAAAATAATGTAATAATATATTTATAATAAGTCAATAAGTAGAAGGTGAATCTGTGACTGACCAAGAAGTTTGACTCAGCCACTAAGTCACGAATTCGAACCCTTCCCTATCCATATCGGTCTACTCAACCGCATAATATCACTGGTCCTTATGATTGGAGTCTGACTCAAAGCGAAATACATAAACTTGTTTCTGATAAATGGGTTAACAAAAGTGCGTATAAAAGTGATTTTCTGGTGTTTCACGGCTTAAATTACTAAGTTGCTTCTTCTTCTTCAAAAAAAATAAAGTAATCAATTAAAATTAACATAATTCTAAATAACACTCATTGAGATGTTACAAATGTCTTATTTTTTTAAAAAATTGTTATTATAAACAATCCATCGAATGTTCAATTTATTTTAAATTATCAAATCAAACCTTGCCAGTATAATATCTTCATAAAATAACATTTGAAAAAGTTTATTTTTTCACTGTACTTTATTGTTGTTGAAACTATCAAGGTAGATCAAACAGATTATAACAATTAATAGTCACATTTGTTAGAAATCCTCAAATAGATAAAAATAATAAGTGTTTGTCTGTTCATTTAAAACAAAATTTAATAGACTCGCTAAGAATTATTATTATTATTATTATTATTATTATTATTATTATTATTATTATTATTATTATTATTATTATTATTATTATTTGTTCCTTGACCCGATCAATTTTTTAAGTTCAATAAAAATATATTGTATAACAAAATTGTTCTCTTCGGAATAAAAGGAGACAGATAAAAAGTTACTTCCATACACAATAGTAAATGCTCATGTATATATAAACAAAAATATAAACCTCGTTTCTATGGTAAACTTTAGAATTCTACAAGTCTCGATAATAAGGTTTATTAAATAGTAATAATAATAATAACTATTATTACGGGTATTTTTGGAAGGCATTTTAGTTTATATGGTTGGTTAAAAGTTATATTGATCCAAACAAAAATCAATGAAACTTCTTGGACAGATGAAAACACCCTACTATTTATATTTTTGAAAAAGAAAGTGTATTATTATTATTTTCATAAATTCGAAACGTTTTTCTCTTACCTATCGATGTCCTCTTTGCTGTGATGGTTTATGTTGTGTACTATACTATGTTTTTATAAGTTATTTGTATGTCTGTATATTATTCGTGTATTGGAAGTTGATTTTTACTGTGAACTATTGTCAATTAAAAAATAGGTGATAAAAACATAATGAACATTGGATAAATGATTTATCCTGGGTTTCTGATTGAAAGCACTGGCTTATGGAGTTACCTATAGTAAAATGAAACAGCTATCCAGTACTTTCAGGTTTTCGATGGTGGTCTAACTAAGATTAATACGTGATTTAAAAATATGAAAATTCTGCAATCTCTACAAATCCTGTTATGCAAACATTATTTAACAAAATTCAAAAGGTGTGTATACGTATTAGATAATTTAAAAACAAACAAATAAAATAAACAAGCTATACAACACAGTAGGTTTTTTTATTTAAATAAAATTAATTAACATGTGACAATTAAAGATTCATTTTGTATTAAAAAATCAAATTGTTTATCAGAATAATACAACAGAATGTATTATTATTAATACTACTATTATTATTACTATTATTATTATTATTATTATTATTATTATTATTATTATTATTATCATTATTATTATTATTATTTGTTTCTTCTCAATTTCACATTTTAATATTCTGTTGAAAAATGAAATTCCTGTTATTGTTATTTGATTCATATCTTAGTACTTTGTGTTATTTTCAAGATAATCATTTTAGATTTTCAGCTATCACATTATTTTCCATCTGTTTTAATTAAATAAGCTTTATTGTTACTATTTGTCCTAAGGATTATTATTATTATTATCATCATCATTAATTTATAGGCCAAGACAATGGCATTGGTTCGTGAAGTCATTGATTGTTAAAGTCTTCAAAGCTCAGTTAGTCAGTCATCTCAGTCCTATGCAACATAAAACCTAGCATATGTGTTCACTAATACAAGTTTCCACACCATACTATCACAGAAAAATTTATGGAGACAAATCCTACAGTATTAGAAGTAGTGACGATATCAGTATTAACATTAAAGATTAAGTAGCAAAAGAAAAAACAATGTAAGAAAATTTTGAGACTCAAAATCTAACGGAAGACAAAGACTAAATGCATCTGCGTCACTGCGACCGATTCCAAACCACTTCATCTAACATATCCAACTACTGGTTACTATAATTGTACGGACCTTAACCACGTGGTCTCTATCTACTTACAAAGCTCAGTCCAAGAGCTAGTAAGTTCATAAATTGATATTACGCCCTAGTTCAAGATAGTCCTCAGCAACAAGTTCCAGGCCTTTCATGATCTACTCAATGGAGAAGGAACTACTGTGGAGAGCAACTGGAAGGGGATCAAAGAGGCAATCACTTCAACATGTCATGAGGTCCTGGGTCACAAGAAACACCACCACAAGGAATGGATCACTGTTGGTACATTGGACAAGATTCAAGAAAGGAGGAACAAGAAGGCAGAGATCAATACCAGCCGAACAAGAGCAGAAAAAGCCAAGGCACAAGCTGAATACACGGAAATAAACAAACAAGTGAAGAGGAGCATCAGAACCGACAAACGTAAATATGTGGAAGATTTAGCAACGACGGCGGAAAAGGCTGCAAGAGAAGGAAACATGAGACAATTGTATGACACGACAAAGAAACTCTCTGGAAATCGCCGCAAACCAGAACGACCAGTGAAAAGCAAGGAAGGCGAGGTAATCACCAACATTGAAGAGCAACAAAACAGGTGGGTAGAACACTTCAAAGAACTCTTGAATCGACCAGCCCCACTGAACCCACCCAACATCGAAGCAGCACCCACGGACCTCCCAATTAATGTTGGCCCACCAACAATTGAAGAAATCAGCATAGCCATCAGACAAATCAAGAGTGGCAAGGCAGCAGGACCGGACAACATCCCAGCAGAGGCACTAAAAGCAGACGTAGCGGCAACTGCACGGATACTCCACATTCTCTTCAATAAGATTTGGGATGGGGAACAAGTACCAACAGACTGGAAAGAAGGACTACTGATCAAAATACCGAAGAAAGGCGATCTCAGCAAGTGTGATAACTACAGGGGCATCACTCTTCTCTCAATACCGGGAAAAGTCTTCAACAGAGTATTGTTAAACAGGATGAAGGATTGCGTAGACACCCAACTTCGTAACCAACAGACAGGATTCCGTAAGGATAGATCGTGTACAGACCAAATCGCAACTCTACGGATCATTGTGGAACAATCAATTGAATGGAATTCATCACTCTACATCAACTTCATTGACTACGAAAAGGCATTTGATAGCGTGGACAGAACAACACTATGGAAACTTCTTCGACACTACGGCGTGCCTCAGAAGATAGTCAATATCATACAGAACTCATATGATGGATTACACTGCAAAATTGTGCATGGAGGACAGTTGACAAAGTCGTTCGAAGTGAAGACCGGTGTCAGGCAAGGTTGCTTACTCTCACCCTTTCTCTTTCTCCTGGTGATCGACTGGATCATGAAGACGTCAACGTCTGAAGGAAAGCGCGGGATACAATGGACATCTAAGATGGAGTTGGATGATCTAGACTTCGCAGACGATCTGGCCCTTCTATCCCAAACGCAACAACAGATGCAGGAGAAGACAAACAGTGTGGCAGCAGCCTCAGCAGCAGTAGGTCTCAATATACACAAAGGGAAAAGCAGGATTCTCCGATACAACACAGAATGCACCAATCCAATCACAATTGACGGAGAAGATTTGGAAGATGTAAAAACCTTTACGTATTTGGGCAGCATCATTGATGAACAGGGTGGATCTGATGCAGATGTGAGGGCGCGGATCGGCAAAGCAAGAGCAGCATATTTACAACTGAAGAACATCTGGAACTCAAAGCAACTGTCAACCAACACCAAGGTCAGGATTTTCAATACAAATGTCAAGACAGTTCTACTGTATGGGGCAGAAACCTGGAGGACTACAAAAGCCATCATCCAGAAAATACAGGTGTTTATCAACAATTGTCTACGCAAAATACTTCGGATCCATTGGCCGGACACTATTAGCAACAACGTACTGTGGGAGAGAACAAACCAGATCCCAGTGGAGGAAGAAATCAGGAAGAAGCGCTGGAAGTGGATAGGACACACATTGAGGAAAGCACCCAACTGCGTCACAAGACAAGCCCTCACATGGAATCCTGAAGGTCAAAGGAAAAGAGGAAGACCAAAGAACACATTACGCCGAGAAATGGAGATAGACATGAGAAAACTGAACAAGAATTGGATGGAACTAGAAAAGAAGGCCCAGGACAGAGTGGGTTGGAGAATGCTGGTCAGCGGCCTATGCTCCATTGGGAGTAACAGGCGTAAGTAAGTAAGTTAACCTCCAATAGCTGTCTCCCAGTCTACTCCTACGCTAGACAACATCGCCTGTCGAGATAGGAAGTGGTCGGGCACACGTAACACATGCCCCAATTACCTTAGTCGATGAAGATTCACTACATCATCAATAGATTTCCCATCCTTACCTAGTATCTTGTGTCTAACTTTGGGATTACTCACTTAGTGGTCCCAACACACACAAGCAATACTTCAGAGTCTCCCATGACCGAATACTAGTAACTGTTATGTCTGGCACTATTATATCTGCTGGGTGCTTAGTTTTTGTTGTTTTCGATACTGATACCCCAGATCCGACGACGCGTAGTGAAAACCAAGGACGTGGTAAGGATTTATTTAACTTTCAAAATGTTATATGTATACGCTACTCTTTCTATGATTTATGTACAGTCAGATTAACAATAAAATTTGTATGATTTGACTGAATGGTATTTAACATCAGTTAATAAATAACCTATTATTTGAGTACGTATTTGCAATATCATACTGATCGGTTTTCACACTAAATTTCGCTCTTTTGATATCTGCCATCACCGGTTAGGACGCACCGTGTCCGAGTCTGATACTGATACATAAGCTTCCTATAACAATGCCTTCAACTAACTATTGAGTGAGAAAACTAATAGTGAAGGACTCATATACTCCTTGAGAAATGAAACCATTTCTTGCATAATAATATGCTCTTGTCATTAGGAGATTTTCGATTGGCACGACATGGCCTTGCCACTCGGTAAATTATGATAGGGTCGTCGTATCACCTTCATATCTTGGAAACAGATTCGACTGAGAACATTAGAATGGATGCATATTAGTAATCTATGAATGTCCTCTGATTTTAAAGACTATGTTCATAACCATAAAATAAGATAGAGCAAACTACTACTTAATAAACTTGTCCTTGAGATAGTAAGTTGTCATATGTGATTGCAGAATATAATTGGTTCCAATTACACAAATCTACTACTCATTTTTTACTTTCATCTGAATGTTGAGTTTCGATACAGTTTCACATTTTTGTCGATATTATTATTGCTAAATTCGCTTCCTTGATTCTTCATTTTGTATTTATTTCTCCTTGTCGGTGTTAATGTGAAGTGTGACGACTTACTGAGCAGTTATACATTTGCACGAAGTAATAAGTTGCGTTTATGACTGATCCACTGAATATATATATATATATATATATATATATATATATATATATTACTTACGCCTGTTACTCCTCGTTGAGGGGCATCGGCCACCCGCCAGCACTCGCCATCCAACCCTGTCCTGGGCAATCTCTTCCAGCTCTTTCCAGTTGTTATTCGTCCTTTCCATATCGGCCTCTATTTCCTGATGCAATATGTTCTTTGGCCTTCCTCTTTTCCACTCCCCTTCAGGATTCCAACTTAAGGCTTGCTTCACGATGTAGTTTCGTGATTTCCTTAATGTATTTCCTATCCATTCCCATCATCTATTCCTAATTTCCTCTTCAGTTGGGAGCTGGTTTGTTCTCTCCCAGAGAAGGCTGTTGCTGATGGTATCCGGCCAATGGATGTTGAGTATCTTGAGTAGACAACTATTTATAAATACTTGTACCTTCTCGATGATGGTTGTAGTAGTCCTCCAAGTTTCAGCTCCGTACAGTAGAACTGCCTTGACGTTCGAATTGAAGATTCTCACTTTGATATTGGTTGAAAGTTGTCTTAAGTTCCATATTTTCTTCAACTGTAGGAATATGGCCCTTGCTTTGCCAATCGTCATCTTTACGTCTGCATCTGATCCTCCTTGTTCATCGATGATGCTTCCCAGGTACGTATGTGAAGGATTCTACATCTTCCAGAGTTTCGCCATCAAGAGTGATTGGATTGCTGTTCTCCGTGTTGTATTTGAGGACCTTGGTTTTCCCCTTGTGTATGTTGAGGCCTACTGATACAGAAACTGCTGCTACACTGGCTGTCTCTATCTGCATTTGTTCGTGTGTATTGGATACGAGGGCTAGGTCATCTGCGAAGTCCAAATCGTCTAATCGCTTCGGAGCTGACTATTGTATGCCTTGTTTTCCCTCAGATGTCGAGGTCTTCATAATCCAATCGACCACCAGAAGAAAGAGGAAGGGTGAGAGTAGACAGCCTTGACTCCGGTCCTTACTTGGAATGCATCCGTCAGCTGTCCTCCACGCACGACTTCGCACTGTAGTCCGTCGTATGAGTTCCGGATAATATTGACAATCTTCTCAGGAACTCCATAGTGTCGAAGAAGTTTCCATAATGTTCTCTTATGTACACTTTCGAACGCCTCCTCATAGTTAATGAAGTTGATGTATAGTGACGAGTTCCACTCGACGGATTGTTCGACGATGATCCGTTGTGTCGCGATTTGGTCTGTGCACGACCAATCCTTACTGAATCCAGCCTGTTGATATATATATATATAACTTTTTATAAAGAAATTAAGTATTTTATCATGTCATAGTTTCTGTTTTATTTACTATAAATTCATTTATTATCCATTTATTGAAAAGTATATTTTAACCAATTATGGTCACTTTAAAGCAAATCTAACAATTAAATATAAAAATCTTACTGTTTTTTACAAATTTATTCATTCACAAGTTCGATTATTTATTTCAATGATTTTGGAATCAAGAAGAAATGAATGAGTAATTATCTTGTGCTTTTATTCTACCTATAAAAAATTTGAAACCGAACACTTGAAAAGTTCTTTTGTTTGTTCATGTATATATATGCCTGTATCATTTCGTCCGCTTTTGTGTTTGAGTACTCTCCTTCTTGTTGTGCTGGTTTTTTTAAAATCGATTTTTCTTTATAAACCTCTATGATCGACCTTTGCTTTTCATACTGCATGACCGAAAGTAAAGGAAGCCTGCCTATGTCATTAAATTTTCACAAGTTAATATAAAACAAAAGCTGTTAGTGTCAGATCAGAGTCTAAAATCTCAATTCGTCAATTTTCTAAAGCTATGAGATAGATTTCTGATTGTTTTCCAATCAACTCCATCAGTTACTTTCTTTGGTATTAGTTATATATTGTAAAAGATCTCATTTTTTCAGAATTCAAGCAAGATTCTATGGTGACATATATATGGCTCAGAGATTATAATCGAAATATTATACCTAAAATATGTTTGTGAAATGTTGAATTAATAATACAAAGGGATTTGCCTTTCAATCAGCAGGTCTCAGGTTCCGATGCAACCTTTACCTACTTCGATCCTAACAGCCAAGTAGTAAGTACCATTAGCTCACGCACACAAACAATATAGATTAAAGCAGATAACAAACATCTGTCCAGTAAATGGTATAGTTTATTAAGTAAGTCTGTTTTCTGTATAACGCTAAAATGTAATTTAGTAATGAAATCTCAATTCAAAGCGCTATTTACATTTCCTCTTTATTGAATTAGATTGATTTTGATCGAACTAAACACTTATCACCAGATTCTATTCATGCAAGACAAAACAAACGAAATCAACTACTGATAGTTGCTGAACGTAGACGTGTTGAAGCAAGAACTATAGCTGAAGCAGCGCGTGAACGTTTACGTCTTTTAGAAGATTCAGAGCGTAAAGCCGTAGAACGACGTGAAGCAGAAGCATTAGCTGCTGAAGCTGAGCGTATGGCGAAACGTGCTGCACGAGAAGAAAGTAAACGACAAATTGTAAGTCATTGTTAAGTTTTTTAAATGTTTCTCTTTCTCCATGTTTTCTGTTTTTTTCCCAATGTTCAATGATGTAGTTAGTGTAGTGTTTAAACACATTACTGTTGTAATAAAATAATTACAATATCGTGCCAGTTGTGTGGTTCGACTAAGCTTTTTAAACAATGAAAAAGATTTTGGTAATGTTACCTTTCTTTTCGAAAAATAAATAATTTAATAATTAGGTCTTCATTGTCATTCCAGATAGCATCACCAACAAATGACTATTATGGTTTATTCCGCAGACCTGGGATTGAATTGGTTATTGTCGATAATTATATATTCTCACTGCTTACAAACTTATGATGAATGTATGCACAACGACAACAGAACTGTTAGTAATAGCTAATCAAACTCCATTTGGATAAAACAAGCCGTTAGTCAATTGTACAAGGATTTTATTATAGATCATTTGTTTTTGTAGTCTAGACTAATAATTATGTTATATAGAAGGGACGACAGTAAATACTTCATGATTAAATTATGTAGTTGAGAAAATTAAACAACACCAAATGTATGTACCTGTTTACTTTCGTTACATCAAAGTTACTAAGTGATAGCTTTATAAAACTTCGCATCATATACAATGATTGCCCACCAAATAATATGTGGCTTTATTCATTATGGATATGAAGTAAAACTTGAAAGAGGAAACAGGCCACCACAGTTCATCCATAATTGGTTAACAACTTATTGTACCAATAACAGTGGGATTTGTATGTGAGTTTGTCATAAGCTGGCGTTAGACAACATTGATCAAGACCTGCATATCTACAGCTGTTGTTTTGTGAAGAAATTCTACAACGACTTTCTCTTTATACAGTTTTATTATAATAGTCAAGCCTAGCAATGAGGATCAAAGATTCACAAGTAAATAATCCCACTTAAAACTAGAAAACGATAATATTGAAATTCATTTCATGAGGCACGATACAAATCACTAATCATTTCAAACTTCAATAAGGATTTTGTAGGTATCATTATCAAGGTTTGACTTGATAATATTGAATAAATTGAGCATTGGGTAGATTGTTATAAATTAATTAATATATTTGCAATATCCCAATGAGTAGAAAAATTAATTTTTCTGACGTTTCGTGACTCAATGTAAGTCACTTCTTCTGAGAATAAATAATCAAATCTGGTTATTTATTTATTCAATAAAGAACATACCACTAAGTAAATCGTTTATACCAATGAATGAATTTTTATTCATGAAAATTGTTGAAAATAAATTTTCCAAAACACAATTGATACTATCATTATTTTTATTTATCATAGGCAATAGATAGGTGTAAAACAATTAAAGAAGAATTACTTAAAAAGAAAATATCCCTTGAAGAATACCGTCGTATAGTGGCTATACGTAAAGTGGAGGGTATACGATTAATGACTTTTTTACTAGCAAAAATACAGGTAAGTAACTGAATATATATATATATATATATATATATATATATATATATATATATATATATATATATATATATACTTGTCAAAATGTTTACTTTTATGGCCGAACACTAATAGACAACAGAACGAATAGTATATTTGGCATGTTACTAGCAGTAAGATGATTGAAAACGCGCGTTTTGACTTGTGATATTAATTATAATCATGATTATTAACATTGAGAAATTACAAACCTTTAATAATACTTTTATAACCATTGGACAAGTTAATGATCATCTGGACCGAAAACCATTGTGTTAAAGTCTCAATGTGAACATTAACGCCGGTATGTAAATAGATCCATCTATCGAGTATCAAATAGAACGAAACCGATACTACTTTTCTCAATTAAATCAAATGATGATTAAGTGATATTCACCATAATTCGTGCAGTTTAACAACAGTGTTATAATAAAATCTAGCATAGGAAATGGACATCATTAGTCTAAGTTGTCATACTTCACGTTGGTTAGTACAACAAGAGATGAAGAAAAAAGGAAAATCAAAAACATTTGAAGTAATAATTTATTTAATAGTAGGTAAGAGTTTAACTTAATCAAATCGGATAACTAGAAGTATAAAGTGATGTAAAATCTTAAAATTTAGGAGGAAGATTAATTAGATTTTCATCTATCTATTTATATCATACATATGAAACCTGGTACATTTAAGTGCCAAAAAAATATGCACCACACAAACAAAGAGGATAACATTATGAGGTAAAAGGTAATGAAGTTTCCAATAGGAGATATTGTCCAATTAAAAATACAACCGAGAAAGATTCCTTTAAGTTAAAGCACTTTCATTCATTTTTTTAATGGAAAATGTAAAAAAAACTACACCATAGTTACCACTGTCTTCTGTTATGAGTCATATCTTTTAGCACCTCAGTCTACTAAGTTGTACCATCTCTAGGAACCCAGGCATGGTATCGCAACAGACCAACAGTTACCCAGTCCTAAACAGCTTTGTTTTATACAACGGTACTATTTTATAAATTGAACACCTCTTGGCTTTTTCTATATTGTTCCAGTGTCACCAATCAATGCCCGGTGTGAAAGACACTGAAATGGAATTTTTAAAACATTATCATCCCAATAAATTTAGTGTTTCAAGATGGTGACATCAATTGGATTTGTTCATCTACACTATTATGGCTATTTTTCTTTCAGACCAGTGATAATATGACTTAACTAACCGATAAACTATTTTTTTTTCCGTCCGATCATATCTAATCTTTTCCCAACAGTCTTCCCTACGCGATTTAAATGGGTTTTCAACTGAAATCAGTTCACAATGAAAGCTAACTTCATATGAAATTTTAGAAAAAAAGCCTCTATACAGTTTGCACCTATCCGGCTACACTAAACTATTTGAATATTGTCTTTCAAAGTTTTAAAACAGTGCTTAAAAGTATAAGTAGTGAATGTAGGTGTATTGTTACATTTTTTATTTATTGTTCGATTTATGTATATTTTCTTAGGCTCGTCATGATTTAATCGTGGCTGCTAGACGTCTTGATCGTATTTCAAAAGCAGAAAAAGCTTTAGCCGAAGCAGAAGCTAATGTCAATGTTGCCTTATCCAATGCATCACATAATAATAATAATATTCGAACAACACCAGCCAAAGCTGATAATCAGTTAGAGATATATGGAGAAAAAGATTCTAATAAGATCTGTTCACAATCTGGTTTACCACCCCTAGTTAATTCGTCTCCTGAATCTGTTGAAGATGAAGTAGGACAAAACTCACAGTTTCAACAATTATTAAATAAACGTGAGGAGTTTCTACGAAATAACTTATTACGTGTAAGTTCTTTTGTAATCTTACCGTAATTATATAAAAATTAATTTCATGCATTGCTGTAAAGATTATTAATCGTCTAATGTAGACTATTGTATATCAAGTATACTATAGTAGTAACGTGGCAGAAGAATGTCTGCTCTAAAAAATGCCTCAATTCAATTCTCATATATACACACAGTTCATGATAGATAGCACAGTAAAAAACAATCCATGTAAAGTAGAAAAGGATAGTATGACAAACATACGGGACATAATTGAAAGATATGTTGAAGATTTCTAGCACGATTAAAAATGAATGGACCTATGGGGTTACGGCAGAATTTCAGACTATCCAGAGCCTTAATAATTATGATCAGTTTATTCAACATTAAATGTTTAGTACAATATGAAATTTTCAGCACATGTTTGTAATAAAAGTCTGATAAAAATTTTCTGAACCGTTCACTTCTTAGTTATCATCTCTTGAGATAAATTTCCGTCACTTGATACAAATTATTTATACTTTTTAACACAGTCAAGTTGAGATATCTTGTTTTAGCGGTTATTTTCCCAACAGTTCAGTACATCGTCATAAAACCCCTGGAAACAGTCAAGTAACTGAAGTCTTTCATTTATTACTGTCCTGATTAAAACTAAAAGTTATTAGTAAATATTTGATCAGAACTCGATATCCCAGTTAACTGTTTTATATAAAACGAGTTATTCTTCAATATGATACGTATGTGGCACTGTTTTTATATAAAACGATGAATTCATCTTTGTGGCCTAGGTTTATCGCGATAGGCTCAGGTCCATGGGTATATCGATCGTATTTTCACTGTCAAATTTAAGAGCACCGCCACATTCACTGCAGGTTAACAATAGTTGTTATTCTTGATATCAGAGACGCCTTCAGTTCGTTGGAATAGACTTTGTCTAGTATTATTTTGAAGTAGGGTGTTTTTGCAGAAATTGCTAATATCTTGAAGGTTCTGTACACAAACACCTTATGCAGAATGAGGGTATGCAACCAACTCTGTCCATTATTCCATTCATGTGGTGGGGTTATCTGATTCCACCATTGCTCTCCACCTGTATCATTGATAACGTTCTAAAAACAGCTCTGATGGATTTAGGTAATATTGGTGTAGATTTTATCGATCTTGAGTATATGGATGAAACTGCAGTCCTGTTCAATCGTACACTAACTATAAAAGTGGCACTTAATTAGTTGTCGATCTGTTCCCTTTAGGACGGCAAATTGGACCTAGTTGCAAAGTACTTTTATAAGATTGTCATGAGTGCATACCAGCACTCACTCTGAAGTGGACTGTTAGAAGTAAAGAAGCGCGTCTATCAGGTTATTTGTGTGTGTTGGTAGTGAGTTAAATGAGATCAGCGTACATTAATCAAAGCCAGAGCGGCGTATGTCATCTTTGACGCCTTCGTGATGTTAGTCTGACTTCAAAAGATTGCGTTTACAATGCATTGGTAAGAGCACCTCGACTCTATCCTCGCGACAATGGGCAACTGTGAGCCGATGATGTTAGACGACTGTGTTCGGCCATCGTTGTCTCCGAAGGTTTGCTGATTGAGACAAGTCAATCCTCATAAAATAAATATTCTGATATTCATTTGTTTTGATCTTATACCTTTTTTCCATTATTCTATTTAGCTCATAACTTCACTAAAATATAATTGCCAAAAATGTTAGAAATATATATCTAATATGTTTTTGTTAAGAGCCCTCAAAAGTCTTCAAAAGCTAAGGAATAGGCTAAAAAATTCAGTAAGCGGATATTGGACAGACATTTCCAGAAAAACAACAGATAATAATTACACACCTTGGTACTAAATTTAGTATGTTTCTCGCTTTTTGTCTTTTATTCGGCGTTCAAGTGTACGAGAATTCTCAGGAAACGAGGCAGTTAGAAGGTCAGTTTCTAGCGTCCAAGTACTAGGTGTAACAGTTATACGATCATTGAAGAAGAAAAACCGTTCAGCGAAAACTTTTTTCGACGATTTCGTTTACTTAAGCTGTACAATCGTGCTTAAAGTTAATTTTATTTGCTAAAATAGTAGTCTATATTCAAATGGAATATTTAAAAACTTGAAATGGTGTCTTGTCATCGATTAAAATCAGATATTGAAAGGAAGTTACGTAAGATGAAGATAACTGTCCACGTGATGACTATTAGAAACAACATAAGTGAGAGTTGTAATAGTTACTGATTAATAGTTGTGAAAATAATTAGGAGTAGAAATAATGGAATAAAAAACGATCGATTACGAAAGATAGAAAGGCCGATTATGACCATGGAAGAGTGAGGGACTGAATATACTGTTTTTGTACGCAAAGGTTAGGCTTAGCACTAACCTCTGCTCTATATAAGTTTTTCATTTGCGTTCCTATTGAGCCGACTTTTCTGACTATATGATTTTGAAAGCTTTTGGTAAAGGGGAGTGGCCAGAACTAGCTAGATGTTCCAAAATTGAGCTTCTAAATGACTTCTGCAATCATTTAGAAAACCAAACAGAATGACGTTCGGAGATGCGTTTCGAAGAAGCTCGTTTTTTGTGGCCAACATAACCTGCTCCACGTTGACAAGTAAACTGATAAATGCACACTGATTTGGCCCAAAGTGTGAGCTTATCCTTCAACAACTTCGAATCATAGGCCAACTAGAAAAGATAATACAAAGTTCAGTCGAATAGAATATTTTTCTCAGAGATCTCGAAAGTCTGTCTTTCAGAATTTTTGTTGTATTACCGCCCTTAAATTGGATATTTATCAAGAGAATCTCCTTTAGTGTTATGGACACTCACATCGTTGTTTCGGTTTCAGGTTTTTCTTAATGGCATTCAATAAGTAAATAAATAACCGAGTCAAAATTAATTTTGATTTGGTTATTTATTCTCTGAAGAAGTGGCTCACACTGAGTCACGAAACATCAGAAAATTTAATTTTTCTACTCTTTGGGATATTACAAATATATTAGTTTATTTACATCAATCTACCCAATGCTCAATTTATTCGAAATTGTCAAGTCAAACCTTGATAATGATACCTATATTCAATGGATATTCATTGTTGATCAATATCTGACGTAGCTTATAAAGTTCGATATCGATCGTGTCCTCTGTATATTTTTTCTTCGCTTAATTGCTTTCTTTCTTCAAGTTATACGATCAACCCATTCATTAATGATCCGCTCAACAAATGCCCAAAACTTCAGGGTCTTTGGTGAAGCTTTTAAGTAATTCACGACTTATTAAAATATATTAATGGAGATGACGCATTAAAGAGAACTTCCCAAGTAGATCAGGGATTTTAACAATGGCTGCGAAGACTTCAAGGATGATGTAAAACCAATGTGACAATCAAGCTCTTCCGTTAATAAAGACGTTAATTATGATCTTTTACGCTTACTGATCGGAATAGCTGCTGATCTAATAAATGTAAGAAAACTGCGGGGAAATAGAAAATTCGATGAGAAAAAGTAAAATAGTAGGACAGTTGAAGAGCCTTCTTTTCAAGGATTTTTGGAGATGTATTCTGAACAACAAAAACGAGATAGGATGAGTCTATTGCTGATGTGTGGGCGAGAATGATTGGTTGTTTGCGTAGTCAGACTAGTAGATAATCCGACAGGTGTTAGATGAGTCATATATTCTTCTACCCTTATAATTATTATTGTGTTGTCGGTTTTTGTTGTGAAAATATACTTACGTTCTAGTCACATGTTCTTGACACGAGTTGTGTTAAAGTCCTGTAGAATAGACATTGGGAAGGTATCTAGTGTAGATATTCTTCTGAGGTAAATTAACGCCCCATTTGTGTATACGAAGAAAACAGAGAGTTATGACAATTGTTCTACATGTAAATTATCCTTTTGAAATAGACATTCACGAACACTAAGTTTTTTAAATTGTAAATAGTCTACTTTGTATTGAAAAGTCGAAGTTAATGAGCGGTTTTCTTTTGGAAAATCCCTTGAAGGTATTCAACACCACAGAGCGAAACGAATAGTTGGGTCATTATTCTGTATAATCTACTGGAATTTTTTTTATCAAGTGACGTAAATCCTATGTTAGTGATCATTTCACTTTCATAACCACGCAATTTATGATTTAATAACTGGCTATTTCCCTTGTTCTGATTGACTACTTATAAAAAAGAACAAAGGCCGTTTCGAATTCTAGTATTTAACGTGTAAGTTATCTTAACAGCGAAGATCAAGGATTCATCGTTAGCGGTCCCATTGAGTAGTAGCATATCCTAGAATATTTTAACGCAATTTCTATTATTTGATTTACTTAGTTTTTCTATTTTGTTCTAGAAACGAGCTGAGATATTACGAACACAAATTTATGAACGATCAATCATGTACAATCCAACTTTTCCTGGGTATAGAGGACGCATTCAACTAAATCGAGAGAAATACTGAAAATTTTGTTTTTACTTATTACTCATTTAATTGATAATGAGGTTGTTTTCTATTTCAAAAAAAAAACGTCTGTACAGTTTATTAGATTGTACTTTTTACTGATTAAACACCATCACGTACCTGTGCTTGTCGTTAAGTACTTTGTCAGTGCAGTGTGTCTAAAGTATCTAAAATGTGTAAACATTGAACAAAACAAAATCTGTACACATGGAATAAGAATACACTATACATAATGAAACTACGTGGTTTCTTTTCTACTTTGACACAACTAACCTATCGTAATCAAAATCTAGTTATCCGGAATTTGTAACAGAATAACTTATTTTTATTCACAGGATTTTCTAAGAAACGAAAGATTTCCCGATTAGCTCTACTTCTCAAAGCATTAATTACATAAAAATATGTTGACTGCTAACTGATAAAGTCCATCTAAAAGGTAACGTCCCTTCTATTTCCTAAAGCGGGAGACGTGACCATCCGTAGTAATAGAATGTAGGTTTTCACGTCTACTTTTCTGAGCTATATGTTTGAGTGCGAAACAAAAGTAGTCAGCAACTTTGACTACCACACATAAACGTATGAGACAGTACTACAACTGGCTCTGAACGCGCAGCATAGCAAAAATCACGCATTTCATGACAAGCATTTTGAGTCAAACCAATATTCAGCCGACCATCCTTCCCCGAAATACTAGAGAATTGGATTGGGGTCAGTATTCACTGAAAGAAAACCTGACCACGAAGGATCAATTTTATTGTGTAAAATTATGTCTTTGTAGAATATGGAAACAATCCGTCAAATACACTATTTACACATTTTAAATTTTCTTAAAAATCAAACTGTTGCTGACACCTTAAGTTGATGGACAGGCTTGTCAGCCGTAATGAACCAGTCGAGCTATATTGGCTGGAACAACCGTTCCTCAAGATCCTACAATGTCAGACAGGTCGATTGAAGAGCGGTAAAACTAGAAGCAACAAACTCAAGGTCTGAAGGCGAAGTCATACTGCTGACTGTACAGAGGTATGACAGCAGTAAGGTGTTTCCTCCGGACAACCATCATAACAGCGATGTTGCTTTCCCACGAGGTGGGGTGGGGTTAGAAAAGGTCCACCCAAAAAATGCACACTCCGCCTTACCCCACGGATGTCCGTCTTCGGTGATAAGGTCTCAACAAGTACGGAGCTAACAAAGATGGTTGTGTGTGGTTGACCTCAAGCAGTTGTCCGTTGGGCACTGAGGTCACGCTCTCAGGTCACTAAGACCACCTCTAATCCAATTTCCTTTTCAGGTACCTCCAGAACAACCCTTTCATGGTGTGGGCAACCGGGAAGTGATAACCGCCCTCATACCTCTAACAGCACTCAAGACCACTGTATTCATAATCAACCTCCGTCTTCAATTCCTGTTATTCCTCCTACATCGACTTTCAACGCTAAACTTCCTCTTTCGGCTTCCTTCTCAAATGTCACCATAGCCAACGATTCTAGTGCTCAAAACATTGTCCCAGGTCTACTGAAACCTCGCTCCAAACTACACATTGGAGCCTCCAACGTACGCACCCTATGTCAAATCGGTCAGCAGGCTTCCTTGGCTAGAACCATAGAATCTCGTACCATTCATGTATGCTGTGTCTCTGAAACACGCATACAGGATCCCAGTGTGGTCATTCACTTGACCCCACCTCGGCAAAACGGAGAGCCAACGAGATACACCCTCTGTGTATCTGGTGACCCGATGGCCAGTTCTCGTGGACTGGCAGATGTAGACATAGCACTAAGCATGAGGGCGGAACAAGCACTGTTAGAGTGGATCCCCGTTAACAGTCGTTTATGCGCTGTTCAGCTAAACGGCTCCGTAGGAACTAGGAAGGATAGGGACACACGTCGTTGCCTTTTTGTCGTTTCTGCCTGTTGTATCCCGATAAGAATAATGAATCGTAATTTTTGGGATCCATTTATGGACCAATATTATGAGCATATTTTTATTGTATAATTATTATGTAACTAAACTGTTCATATTCATGCCCCTCTTATTATAAGCTTTATTTTGACCTATGAACCATTATTATACGTTTTACCATTCTTGAGTTATAGCCAGTATATTGATTACTACCTCCCTCATTCACAGCCACATCTGGCTAGTTCTAGTACAAATGTTGTTCCATCCTTTATTGGTACGTTGTGGTCGGTTTGTTTGGTATATAAATTCAGTATGCTTGAAATATAATGATTCATATCTCAGAGGCTGAGACTTGCGTTCTGGACTCAAATGGCTGGACTAGAGAGGGGAGCGGGACCAATCAGAACTCCAGGCCGTTCTTACGTATTTACGCGTCTTTGGTCCGATCGATAATACGCTGTCCTCTAATCTGCAGACACAAGTTATAGCACTGCCTACGCTCCCACCGACTGCAGCTCACATGAAGTGAAAGATGAATTTTACAGAAAGCTATCTGAACTTCTTCAGAAAGCTAAACGCTGAGACAAAATACTCGTAGCTGGTGAATTTAATGCCCAGCTAGGTAGCTTAAAGAAAACAAAAACATATTTAAGTACGTTAACTCATACACAGCATAAATCTGCTGTCTATTTTTAGCTGCTTTACGTCTTCTAAGACGTGTTGTCCATATGAAAGAAGAATTTTTTAATCGTTATTTGATCAAAAACAATCTTTTTAAACCAGTTTTGAAGCTCTTCGTTTCCAACGGATATCGTTACAACCTGTTGGACTCAGCTATTATCGAACTTTTTGACTATATTCGCTCTGAAGAAATAACTTCATTAATTACCCATATAATAGAAAATTATTGGGATATTTTGAAAAATATAAATTACGTACAAACGTTTACCGATCTAAAACGAGCATACGATCACAGTCATCGTTCAGTTAGGACTGTTGTTGGAACTGTGACCCAGCAAGCGACATTAGATGTGTAAGTTTTATTTGTTTGAACTTGGTAGCAGTTTGTCTGCGTTATTTCTTTTTGTTATCAGTGGGATTATAAAGTGAGGGCACTTGTTGTACAATTTCTTAAAGAAATATCCTATAACTATCAATACATATACTGTCGGGTTGAAATCATTCATTTAAAGAGGAGTATCTACTTATTTTCAAAATTCAAATAAGTCTTGATTGCCGTTAAGTTATTTGGTGTCGTTAACCTTCATTAATGGATAGAAAGGCAATTAATCTGGATTGCTTTGTGAAAAGATATTTCTAATGTTTCTTTTATAAAATGAACTCTAATGGCTTCTAGTTCATTTGAGTGTTATTTACAACGAAATTACCTCTATTGTCAATTTAAATCTAACTTATTTACTAATGTACCTATCAACAAAGTATGAGATATTATTTATGATTGTTTATAATCTGACTCAGATTTGAATTTACGATGCCCGTTAGATCCTTCCGAAGTTATTAAGTGTTTTGGAATTGTATTTACGACCGACGTTATTTTCATTCCGAAGAAAGAAAGTGTGGCAATGGGTTCACCAGTTTCTCGATTGTAGCGAATTTACGCATGCATTCTCTAGAAACCAGTGCGACCACAAGATGTGTAAATCCCCCAAAAGTCTGGTTATGGTATGCAGATGACATTTTCATTAAACGGAATGATTTTGAAGAATTGTTTGAAAATGTAAACATCTCGGAGAGCATCAAGGTAACAAATGAAGTAGAGTCCAATGACCACAAATTAGCGTTTCTCGATTGTCTGGTTGAGCGAAGTTACAATAATAAGTTGAAAATAAATGTATTCAGGAAATCAACACATTCTTAGAGATACTTAGATTACGGTTCGGCTCATGCGTATTATACAACGGTCACAGTTGTACAAAATTTAATTGAAGGATTATTAATCTCAGTACAGAAAAGGAAGACCAACAGATTGAGTTGAATGGAATTTTGTCTACACTTAAAGCCAACAATTACCCCGGAAAGTGTTCAAAGATGATGAAAAATGAAAGGAAAAACTAAATTAGGGAATATACCGAAAGATTGGAAGTCCACCGTGGGTTGACCGGACTTCCAAGATCAGCGAAGTTGTCGACGCGTTCGACTACTTCACTCCCTATCCTCATTTCAGGTGTTGACACAGACCAGTCCTGAAGCAACAACTTGCATTTGGAGAGGGAGAAACTCATTCCGAACATTCTGGCATTGTTGCCCAGTGCTAGCAAAACACTCTGCATTTTATCAGTGTCTTCACTAAACAGGACTATATCATCTGCGTATTCTAAGTCGATAATTGGACCTCCTTCCAGGAGGTCAATGCTTATGTACTTCTAAGAATCGCCTTTCAACGATAGATACTGTTACCGAACCTCTCGGTCCACAGAGTCAAATTGTGCTTTTAAGTCAAGAAAGATCACCATTGTCGGACGCCGATAAGTATGCCTGTGTTCTAGAACCTGACGAATGGTGAATATGTGATCGATGCAGATACAACAAGTTCTGAAGCCAGCTTGAGTCTCTCGTGTTTGCAATTCATGAGTCTTAGTTAGGTGTCCGATAATTATCGAGGCTAGTATTTTACATACTATATTAGTTAAACTAATCCCTCTATGGTTGTCTCAGGATGATTTTGACCCTCTCTTATATATTGGGACGATAAGTGATTGTGACCACTTAGATTGGATAACGTCTAACTCCCAGATCTTAGCTAAAATATTAGTCAACCTAATCGCTAATATTGGACCACCATCCTTAAAGTTCTCTGGAGCCAGTCCATCTGGACCAGCTGCCCTTCCTCGCTTCAGATTAACTATAGCCTTTTGAACTTCAGTAAGAGTTGGGGGACCTACTTTAATGTTCCATTCACACTGTCTGGGAATGGAGGGTAGTTGTAGAGTAGCTGAAGGCCAGTTGAACTGTTCTCTGAAATGTTCCGCCCATCGTTCTAAACGTCTGGACTGGGAGCAGATGAGAGTATCGTCTTTTTCTGATATAATCTCACTTACACTTGACTTATTAATTCCAGTTTCTTTTACTAGTCTGTA